CATGTGAGTATTAAAATAGATTATACTTAAGTGGTAGAGTTGTTGTAAAGATGAAATGTGCATACAGGTACTTTGAAAATGATAAATCATTATACAAAAGCTCAGAGTATTTTTTGATAATTTTCCTTGGAGTTATTCTCTCTTCTCAGTAATGACATTAGGCATATTCTCTGTACTCAGCTAAACTTGTCACTTCCTGTTTTTTGTTTTCATTTGTTTGCATTTAACTCTTTAGGTAGAGGACTGGGCTTTTTTACATCCTGGTGAGGCCAAGGCTAAGACACTACTCAAAGTATGCCTGAGCCCTGATTCAGCTTACTTTCCCAGAACGCAGATATAGCTTCAATGTGAAGTTTGGGTCAAGGACCAGCAGGACTAAAGTTTGTAAACAGTTCTTTAACCAGAGGGACATGAATAGTTTGAGCAAGCTCTTTCAGAATGTTATAAGCTCCAAACATTACAAAAAAAAAAAAAAAAAAAAAGTTAACAAAAGGAGCTTTTTTGAAACTTAGACACTTTGCAGATTCACCAGCAGATAAGTGTCCCTTATTACTGACTAAGGGGTCCAGAGAACAAAGTGTGCTAAATATACTGCATCTGCTCCTGTTCAGTATGGCCTTCTCGCTCCTATGAATTTTTACATCCTTGGTTTCATAAATCAGGAACTTAATCTAATCTCATCTTACCTGTGTGTGTGTATGTTGGTGTGGTCTTCCTGCCATCCTTAGCCCAACTGAAATACCCTTCCATTTACACACTCAAGTGGCTTTTCTGATTCCTGTTAATTTTCCAGGCAGTAGTTTTATATTCATTGTATACAATAATTTGGGAATATTTTTCAGCGTACATATGACTCTAAATGTCAAAATGAAGAAAGTAGAATTATGTTATATGTGCTAAAAACACTATGAACTCAAGAACATGCCCATCTAGGCACATTAAAAATTATTCAGAAAAGGGTGCAGGAATGGGGAAATTCAAAGCTGACAGACTAATGCCAGATACAACAATAAACAACCATATGATTTCAGTTATAGTAACACAAGATTGATTTCTTCCTCAGGTCAACACGGGTTGGTAGGAAGTAGATTTTGCTCTTCACAAATTCAAGCATTGAGGCTCCAGGGGCACCAGAAAAAAGAAAAGAAAGCTCGTAGAAAAGCACACCTGCTATTTATGCTTTGGCCTGCTCACTTAACATTGGTTAAGTTGATTAAATGCCCTAAAATATACTTAGTCCAGAAAAAGGAAATTGACTGATGAACGTCGCCAGTCTCTGCTGTACCCATCATCCATTCCAATGAATACTTTTTTTAAGTCAAAATAATTTTATGATAGTAGCTAAATATTAATTTGAAAGTTTTGCTATGAGGAACATTAAAAGAAAAATGTAGGTAGTTATGGAGACAACATGGAGATCATTTGACCAAAAAAACTCATTTTGGTATCTATCTGATGATTTCTGAAAAAACTAGTGAATTATATTTGATGTTGTAAAAGAAGTATTATATTTTAGAGACACTCTATAAGAGATGAACTTTAGAATCTTAGCAAAAGGCTAAATATAAATGTTCTATTCAATAAAGAATAGCAGACACATATTCTGATAATAGCAATTCAATGCTTAAATCCTGGATTAGTAAACTTTTAACAGCCAACATTTTAATAACTGTCTCCCCCAATGTGTCTCAAATGCACTCTATTAGCAAACACGACAGTCCAATTATTTCCATGGCACTTAGCATTTCATGGTGGCCTACTGCCAATAGAAGAATATTGAGTGGGAAACGTGCCAAAGAAATTAACTGATTTTAAAAGTTAAAATATTGCTAGTGCTGAAAATTTAGGGTTTATATGAGGCTAACTGCCTCAACCCTGTTTAAACTCATCAGAAAACTAAATTCATTGGCACTGACTTAAGTAATAACTCTCTCTTAATATTCTGCTGAAAAAAAGTAGATATCAATTTTGCTACAAAGAACATGTTAGTAAAACTTTATGTCACATAAAAGGAAATACCGTCTTATTTACCACTGGAAAATATAAAACAATTCAAAAATACACTGGTAATCCATTATACATTGATCTGGTCTACATCACTAAATCTAGAGTATAAAAAAATAAGTCTTTTAAAAAAGGAGGAAAATGTGGGAAAATTGGATGAACTATAAAAATATGTCGAACGTTGGACTGAACAGGACTTTTATTTCTTTTCTGCCATTTTATAACTAGTAATGAAAACATAAGTAAAAAAAATATAATCTGTTTCTCCTGGAAAAGTCTGAATGAGGGAAAGGGTTAGAACCAGAGGTAACACAGTGCCTGATCCATGGTAGGAATTTAATAAAGGTATATTGAGTGACCAAATGAATAAATAATACAGCTGAAAGAGGACTGAACTTAAAGTCTAAAGAGCTAGGATCCAGGTCATTCTACCACCAACTAGCCACACAAGAGCAAATAGTAATAGCTATAATTTATCGAATACTAACTATAGAGTTGTTATAAACACATGTATTACATAATAATCCTATGAGGTAGATACCATTGTTATGCCCATTTTACCCACAAGTAAACTGAAGCACAAAGGAGTTAAAGTACTTGATAATGATAGAGTGGGCTCTAAATTCAAGCACTCTACCTCCTGAGTTCTCGATTTATGTACTGCATTTTATCTTCCCTCCATATAATCTTGGGACCCCCTCTTTACTTTCTGAGTCATAGCTTCATCGTTGGTGAAATAAAGGTTTTTGGATTAGATGTCCTCTAGTGTTCTATGTGTCTAAAAAGTTTATCCTATCTAAAAGGAATTTGGATTTATATGTGTAATTAGTACTCTAAACTAGAGTTAGCAAACATTTCCTCTAAAGGGCTAAATAATAAATATTTTAGGTTTAGGTTTCACACAATACATAGACCAATGAGCACTGTGTTCCAATAAAACTTTATTTACAAAAACAGGCTGAAGTTTGTCAGCCCACATCTAAACAGTCATATATAATAAAGGAATAGTAAGGCTGGCTTTAGCAAGAGCAAATTTGGAAATATTCAGCATTATTGTGCTAGGAGATATCTTAAACCATCAGATGTTCAAGTCTTTTGCCTTCAGATCTACATCATTTAGGACATATGACTGTCTCCCTGATGGTTTTCAGGAAGAGAGACTATACATATTCAAGCATGAAATTAATCTATCAGCTTTTCTAAATATAAGCACACATTTGCACATGTGATGTATTTCAAAAAGGTGTATTCTAGTTTCCAAATCATGGTTAGATTCCCAGGCCTGGTCACATAAGCCTACCGAATATATGTTTTAGCCAAAATAATATCCATATGCAATAAAACAATCACACACATACATAAGCACACATGCACACTCAAACACACAGAAGGAAAACCTTTACACATATGGATTTTTGTAATCACCTTTGCTAAATAGAATTTAGTGAACTATTATTTCTATTAAAAATACATTCCATAGTAAATAGTAGAAAACATATTTGTACCAAAAATATAACTTATTTCCTTCTATTGTACCTATTAAGGGAACTGAAGGGAAAATGTGGTCTAATGTTTCACACTCTGTTCCTTCTGTATAAACATGATAATTTAAAATAACTTTGATATTTATTCAGCAAACTGCTCTGTGCCTAGCACCAGGTTAGAATTTATGGGAGACAGGAATTAGTCAACTTGGCCTCTGTCCTTAAGAAGCTTCTACTTAATTTTGGGGAGATGACATTCCCAAAGAAAAGTGTTCACTAATAATACATCTGTTGAATAATGCTGGCATTAAATAACAATAAAAATTAAAAAAGCAATTCAAAATAGTAATTTCTTATATGTAAGACTATATTTATAGATATAGATATAGATGATACAGAGATATAGATATATAGTCAAAGGTGGTTAAGAAATCTCTTATAATTTGAGAGGAAGGGGAGAAGCCTTTGGATTAGAGTGATACAGTGAAGTTTATTGGTAAAGTTCCTATGCTAAACATGAAGTGGAGTAATATTACTTGAAAGTAGACTGGGATAACTAAAGATGTGTAACATAAAACTAAAAGCAACACTAACAAATAAAATACATCTAATTAACAAATGAAGGCCATAATATAGAATCGACTAAAATATATAATTAATTCAAATCAATTTGGGTAGATACCCAGTGAAATGTGTCTAGAAAAAAACAAACTTTGCTAACTCATCTCATGACCATTAAATCACAATTATATTTTCCTAGTCTTTTGATCCCATGCCTATGCAGTGATACTCCTAGAGAGAACAGTTTCAAAATCTTTCCTCTCAGCATCATTTAAACCTGCTCCAACCAAACTTTTGCCCTCATTACTCCACCCCAAACTGGTCTTATCAAGGTCACCATGCCCAGAGGTCAATTCTCACTTGTCATCTTTGTAACCATTTTCATAGTTTTAAAATTCACCTTCCTATGAATACTGTAGACTCTGAGTGGGGATGCTGTATTTTAATTATCTTATCTTGAATATTAAAAGTATTTCATTATATGTGTTACCGTCGAAACATGTTTGTTTATGAATGACCAAAGAAATCTCCTTAGTATCTTGGATTTGGAAGATCAAATTAGAGCATATCATAATTTAATAATCATAAATTTAGGTAGCATTCTGTTAGAAAGTTTATATGAATTTCTGAAACTTACTTTATCTTCACAGATTCTTTGGATGTCTATATATCATGAGGAAGCCTAACTAAAAAGACTAAATTTGACAATAGATATTGAGAGATTTATACATGCACACTTAAATTTTCCATCATTCTGTTTACATTGTATCATAAAATATAGTATATTATGAGTCCTGTAAAATGCACTAGGTTCCTTCACAAATTAGAAATAAATTTGTCCAAAGGATTTATACTTTAACTAATTAAAAACAAAACTGAGAGGCAAGACAGTGCTGTATTCATTTCTCTTACAAAGAGTATTCTTAAAATAAAAATAGGTGGCAAGAATAATTCACAAACTACCATATTTTACATTTTATTTCACCAAATAAATTGCTCATTGTTCATATCATTGATCATGTCACTGTTCATAAGATATTTTAAGATATTTATCAAATGAAAACAAAAGCCTTCTGGCTTCAGCTAAAGTCATTTTTCCAAAATGTAATTGCTATTATCTAGATCTTATTTCAGTTTCTAATCAAAATCACTAATGAATATTGTAAAATTAAGTTACAGTTTTTTCTCCATTTGTATTCCCGAATAATAAGAAATAAAGCTGCAATTTCTTAGGACCAATGACAATAACTCGGGAACAAAATGGGGGCAAATGAATCCATGAACATGTATTACAGGTTCTGCACAAGAGCTTTCAAAATTAAGTTTGAAAGTGGACTAAGCTTGGTGTTTTAAGACACCTAGGACTCACTTAACTCATATTAGCCAGAGGTAGAATAAGCAATATGTCAAATTAAGTTGCTCAATTTTCTTTTTACAACTTTTTCAGTGCCCTTTAGGAATACCATTACTGAAAAGCTATTGTTAGCATTTACAGCATAAAACCTGATTTTGGAAGGTTGATATTGCAAGAGCCTAAATATCACAAAATTGAGAACTGTATTGTACTAGTTGTTTCATCTTACTAAAAGGAAAAATGAGTTTGTGGATGAGCCATTTTTGGTTGAAAAGGGGAAAGCTTTAGAATGTTTTTAATGGTTGATTTAAAAACTTGCTAAAATTGATGACTAAAAAATAATTTTTTGTGTGTATTACTTTTCATATATTAAATGTGACAGTAATAAGAAAGCAGACCCTTGCATATTGTACTAATCTCATTGAAGCAGAGACTTCTATTTAAATAAAACATAGTGTTAGTCATTTAAAATAATTTAGAAATCTATTCTCCTTAATGTTTTCTAGTTGAGTACAAATCAAATCTATCACCAAGGAAAATGCATAACAAAAGAGTCAAATGCTTATCAGTATGAAATAACCAATCTATCTTTTAAATGAACCATGTAGAGACTACATTTCATGTGAAAAAATATAAATTGATATAAGTATCAAAGCAATTCCTAGAAAAACAATTATGTCTGAGGACAATAGTTTTCCTACAACTTGCCATGATAAATATCATTTGTTCCTCCACGTGGAAAATAAGCAGTTGTGGTTTTATTTTCTTTGTATGTGCTGACATAAAAAAGAAAACTGGCTTTTCCTTGTCTCTATAGTGCTGCTTCTTTCCAAACTCATTGGCAAAAAAATATTTTGCTCATTTGGTGAAGGAGGAGAGATATAGGTTGGAACTAGGTCTTAAACATAAAGAACCATAAGTAACCTAGATCGGATTCTAAAACCACCATATAAAACAACAAATTTGTAAAAATGAATTCATTTCATGTCAAAAATTGAGCTAGTACCTACTTAGAAATATTATTAAAAATCTCTCAGTATTGATTTACAATATGTGTATTCACAAAGCGTATGTTGTTATGGACACAGACAGAAAACAATCAAGTCCCACTGTTTCTTTTAAAAATAAATAAAACATAAAATTATCCAGTGCCTCTAATGATCTATGTGCTCTGCACTCTGATGTTCCGCATGTCTCTCATTAACACTGGTCGGTAGCTTTGTTCCAAAATTTCCATGTATTCAAAGTAATCACTCACTCGAAACCCATGTAGTGCTTCTTCCTGTCAAAAAATATAAAGGGAAGTTCATTCTCTTGGGTAAAGACACAAAATTCTAAATTAATAAAATTTAAATAGTTGGTGTATCATTTTTTCAGCTATGGATGGGGGTTTTATATTGCTACTAAATGTGTAATTTTTTTATTTAGTAGGCTATGTATGTATATGATAGCAAGAAAGCATGTCCCTATAAAACAAGTGTGTTTTCAAAACCCAAAATGTTTTACAGCTAACAAAAATTAAAACTCTTAGATAATGAAATCTCCCTAATATTTTAGATATAATAAAGTTTCAATTATAGAACGATTTTTCACATTTATAATTAGTAAGGATCCTAAAGCTTTTCTATCAAAGGATACTATAACTTTGCAGGAAAATGTGTTTATAGCAATTGTTCATAAAACTTTTAACAGCCTGCAATTCATAATGTGGGTACTATGCATGTCTATACTAATTTGGAATTTAATGATTAATGTTCCAAATGAGGCACTCAAAAATAAAAACAGTAGGAACATCCATTTACAATCTTAGCGACTTTTAGGGAATTTTATGACTATTCATCTTAGCATCTCCAAATACTAGCTATGTAGTACCTACCCTTCAAAGTAACCAAAAAAAAAAAAAAAATCTGCAGAAGATCATGCTTGACCCAATGTAACAAGTATTATGTTAGGAGTTTTGGGAGTTACAAAAATTTTTGGACAATTCATGCCTATCTGGAGATTACAGTTTAAAGGTAAGTTACTAATAAAAGAGCAATTCAAAAGAATATATTATATTAGAGATAATCATATACCATATATTATATTAGAGATAATCAGTTTATAGATGAAAAACATCGATGTAGAGTAACTAGGAAAACATCGCACGATTCTCAATAAGAATGTTTTTAAAGATGTCACTGGTTACTTATAAGTTACTAATAGTTTACAGCTTGCAAATAACTTAGGAGAAAGTTACACTTATTTTGCCATGTATCACCTAAAATCTGGGTAATTTGGGTGGAATGGTAGTTGAGACTTTTAAAAAAATTATTCCTGATCTACATGGTTGATATTATAGCTAAAGAAACAAAATGATGTTAAATTATATATATAACATTATTTCATTAAGGCTAGAGCTAATTCTACTCTTAATTTTAAAATAATTATGATGTGTCATCCATTGTTTCATTTCTTCATTCATTAACTAATTCATTCTTTTATTGTATGTAAGATTCTTGGTTATAAACATTAACGTCTGAAGTATATATATTGTGTCTCCGGTTTTAATATATAAGCAACTAAATCTTAGGGAAGATGATCATCTTATGAATAGTAGAAACACTGGGTCTTTGTAAATTTCTCTCCAGTCAAAAATGTTTCACTTTGTCCTTTCAGGTAAAAATAGAATTGACCATCTTGTTGTTCAAGAATTCATCTTAAACAATTACTTTTATAAAAGTCATGGAACTATTATAAATTTATCCATTCTCTTCATTCAAATAATGAGTGATTTGGAATCGATCACCTCTTCACTAAAACTATACCTAAGTCAGAGAGGAATTAATAGTAATGTATTATCCTAACCAGAGAATAAAAACTCAAGGCTGGAAAAATTGTTTTAGTACATATTCATGATTTTTAAAAGAATGTATATTGTTCATTAAGTGTGAATTACAATCAGAGATGACAGCATCTGAACAATAGCTCATTCTTTTCTGGGCAAAAATAAGCAAAATCTATTTCAACATTTTAATTATTGTTCCACTTTAATTTAAAAATAAAAACTACCTGTGGAGAGCCATAACATTTACTTGGTTTAAATGTATTTTTTCCTTATAATGCATTTTTTTAAATTATAGTTCTATTTTGGTCATAAGTTTTAAAATTTAAAAAAAAAAAAAAAAAAAAAACAACCCTGATAACTATACTGAAGAGACACCCATAAAACTGGCAAATGTTTTTAAGTCTTATAAGAGAAGAATTAAATAATCGCTTTAAAGGTAATGTTTTTTAAATGATATAGTTCATTATTTAAAATTTGCAGGAAATTTGTTTTGAATAAAATTTCAAAATCTCTGAATTCTACTTTCTGTCTTCAAAGTAGAATATTTTTTCATTTTATCTTAAATGTTCTCTACTGGCCTTTTAGTGAATAACTTTTCTTTGTAATTTTGACCATTTAGACTGCCAGCGTATCATTCAAGTTATTACAGATCATTTCCTAAGAAGACTGTTTTAATGTCATTTGTAGACCTAAGTATACTGGACTCTGTATAAAAGTATGAATTCTCTTATTCTTTAAATAGGCAGACGCATAATTATATGAGGTAACACTATTCTATTTTATATAGACAGTACACTATTTGTTCAAGAAAAGCTTACCTTTAATGGGTTACTACTTGAGTAGTTTATGTCTTGGTTAGGAAGTTCATTTTTATATCGCATTTTCTTTTTACTCCTAATGGCTTTCAACCAGTGTGCCTTCACTTCATTAATTCTGAGTTTCAAATGTTGAATCATCAAAAAGCATTAAAAATTATCATTCTAAAGTACAATGTTGCATGTACATTCAATATTATATGATAGGGTTATATACAGCTTCCTTCTCTTCTTGTATATAGAATGTAGTTTCAAATATGTATCCACTGGTTTTCTATTACTATTGAGAATATTTAATTAGAAGGTCCACTGAATTTAGGATCATATATGTTTTTAAAGGTATGTCTATTACTAGTCACTGAAAGACAATTTGACATACTAGAAGGAGCATAGGGTTTAGATTCGGACAAAAAAGAAGGGGGCGGGGTGGTGGTTTAAAGTCCCCTATGTTAGTTACCAGACCTCTGAATTGGGAAAGTTTACTGACTCTGTAAGCCTCAATTTTTCATGTGAAAAGTGTGGGCAGTAACAGCATAAGGTTGTGCTGTCTGAAGTCCTTATCATGGATTATAAAGCCTTATATGATCTGGCTCCTATCTCATCTCTTACCATTCTTACTCTCATACTTGTTCTGGCCACAATGGTCATCTAAAGGTTTTCTAAGAGGGCCAAGTTCATTCTTACCTCTCAGCTCATTCACTTGCCTTTCTTCCCATTTAGACTTTACCCAGAAGTCTTTCATTGCTTTTTCCTTTGCTTCATTCAGGTCTCTGCTGCCCCTCTCAGAGTAGGCTTTGCTGGACTCTAACTAAATAGCACTTCTGATTCACTCTCTGACTCTCATACCATGTTTGACATCTTTATAATAAGATCTATCAATACCTAATATTATATAATTATTCACAAATTATTTATCAGTAGACTGCAAGGTCGGTCCAGACAGAGATATAGTCTGTCTTGTGATAACAGTATCTGGGAAACAGTTGTTGCAAGATAGCTGAACAAGTCAATGAGAGAATGCATACCTGTAAATCCCTTTGCCCAGTGCCTCACATTCGATAAGCAGTGAAGATGCTACTAGCGGTCATAATAATAACATTTTTAATTAACTGATGGTCTCTGAAATGCTTGAGCTAGATTTTCTTGATCACACTGAAAATCTACAATATAAGTATGAATGAGCCCATCAAAGATTATTGACTCCAGTGTCTGCTCTTCAACCCCTTACCAAGGAATAATGGAGCAATTCATCTAAAATGTTAAGATATTTAGATATCACTGTCTTTCTTGCATCTTCTCAGGAATATCCCTGTTATGGAAAATGAGATCCATCTATACTTTCAAGCATTATTTTTATCAGTTAAATTTTTCTAAAATAATTTCCAGTAGATATGTTTTTAGAGATACCGAAAGCCCTATAAATTTGGAATTTGAAGTGAAACAAGGACTCTCAGGGTGGCAAAGATACAAAGCACAAAAAGATCAAGTGTGCTAACATGACATACCATGGTTTTATGGTTTTAAGATTTTAGGACCAAATTTAGGTATTTTTTGATATGCTCTTCTCTAAATATTTAATTATTAATGTATTTAAAAGGTAATTTTTAAAAAGATGTAATAGCTCTTTATAAAAGAAAGTATGAAGGAGAAAAGTAAGTTACTTTGAGTGAGTTAAATTGGAACAAAGAGTTGATTCTTATTAATAGTCACCAGAAAGCATATAAAAGTTTACCACAAAAGGTATAGAATTTATTATACACTGAAGTTACTTAATAAAGAATTTGCATTAATGTCAAATCTCACACAAGACGCACCAAATTATATGATGAGCAACATGAGAAGGGTTTTGTGAACACAACTCTATTCTTTACCCTTGCTAGATGTGAGCTTTTTTGTACGTGTCTGACTAATCATATGGAAAAGAACCTTCTTTCCTGGTCAAAAGGGTAGAAACACAAACAACCTGCAAGTAATGTTTCTTCTAGTATATTCTTCCTGAGGTGCTTGGTAAAATTAGAAATCCCTGGATATCATATCTCCAAACTGTTGAATCCCTGACGTTGGAATTCTGGATTTAATCTCCAAAGTTAACATTTTTACATATTCTAAAAGTTTCAAGCTACTTGAGAGTTATTACTGCAATTGGACAACTCAGGCCTTTCTCATGAAAATTCTGTTTTAAAAGATCTGAGGAAGAGTCTAGATTTATATAATTTTAATAATCACCCTAGTGATTCTTAGGATCAAGACAGTTTAAATTGAGTGTGTAGTTCTAGAGAGAATATGAGATTCTTAAAATATTTAGGAGAGAATATGTGGCTCTTAAAAAGATTTTAACTCAGCTGAGAAGCACATGGGCATATGTGATGACTAGAGAGGTGATTCAATCTTGGTTGGGTAAATGAAGGAATAGGTCTTGATCAGATAGGATATAAAAGAATTTTCTTGACATAGATCTGAAGGTTATATCAACATCAGGTATCACTATAATATGATATACTAAGACATCCTGGGGCTGGAGAAAAAAATGGGAACAAAAGTATAGAGTATAGCTGGACTCAGTGGAAAACCTGTTTCCTCTCCTATATCCTGTATACATCTTTTCTTAAATAACAAAAGAAAGATGGGAGAGAGATGGCACAGGAATGCAGAAACTCAAATGACTAAGTTTTTATTTAAGAACTTACAATGTACTAGATAATGTTCTCGAAGTATTTTACAGATATTATCTCATTTCATTCCTCTACAACCTTATGTGATAGATATTATTTCACACCCAATTATATGGATGAGGAAACTGAGGCGTAGAGAGTTTAAGCAACATCCTTAAGTTATACAGTTAGCGAGAGACAGCCAGAATTTTAATTTGGGTGAACTCAAGTGATATAAGAACAAGGCAGAAAACACCTGCAAACCACAGCTGACATAATACTAAAGATGTTTTATCTATTCCCACAGAGAGTGGATTATTTTCAATATTATGTTCACTTTTGTCTTTTAAAAGCTTAATATTCAATTGGTTTTTCTCAGTCTAATCTCTATTTCTTACCCTGTCAACATGTTCTGAATCAACAGACGGACACACACACACACACACACACACACACACACACACACACACACTCCTCTTGATAATACTCATTGGGCTGAAATTAAACAGATTTCTTCATAATTATAAATTGATTTTGCCATAATATGTAGGATTTAATTGAGATATTTAAGAAAATTTATTTGGATGATGTTTTTCTCTCTGGAAGTTTGGTCCCTCCAGATTTTCTGAACCATCACCTGTCACAGATAAAAATGTTCAGAACCCCATGTCTAAGGACTAAGCTTTTCAGCATACCTTCAGAAGTTGCCTTCTAGCTCAGTGCTAATCTATTAATCACCACAGTGGGGAAATGTACTTAGCTGCTTTATTATCCAACCCACATTTTTGTTGTGCCTGCAAGAATATTATAAAAAACTCAGCCAATATCTCACCAGTATCAACTTATTCCTATGACATTCATCTAATCTAATATTTAGTGGTTTAATAAAAAGGGGAAAAATAAACAAGTTTTTGTTTGTTTGTTTTATTTTTTAGTAAACCTGGGCTGCCTATTAGTGTTCACCATCTTCTGGTCTAAGAAATTCTAAATACTCATTTTAATGTATTGACCAATCATGAAGAACTGTTCAGTGGGCTATTACAAATGTAGGCAATGAGTCTAGACTTTTAATTATCTGCTTTAAAATTGTGAGGTGAAACCAAAATGAATACAACAGGGTTGATTTTTGTTATGCTTCTATCCTATCACTTTCTGTCAATACATGAAACTTAAACCAGGAAAAGAATTGCATATTTTCGATCTTCTGGAACCATCTCATTATCTGAAGTTTTTCAGGATAACCAATAATGGTGGAGGACATAATATGTTTGTGGTTTTTCAGTATTTTGGAAACTAATTCAATTCGGCCTGATTATTTGAACTTATTTATAATAGATGTTTATCTCCTTTTATATAATGAATTAATATCCTCCTTTAAAGAAGGTAGTTTTATTATAAAAGTATGATCCCATTTAAAAAAATAAAAAGTCCACATATATATAAATATATATAAGTAAAAGTCTCCTATTATACTTTATCTCCTTTCTTCTCAGAAACAATCATTACTAAATATACGGAGTCAGAGAATAACATATAATCTATATAAGAACATTATTATGGCTATGACTAATACATGAAGAATTGTTGATAAGTTTTTTTTCCTTGGTACGAGGCTGAGATTTTGCATGAAAAAGTACAAAACATAATTTCCAAGGTTTAATTCCTACAACTATAGTTGACTGAGAGATTTTTAGATCATGTATCTATTTCTGACTTAGGGGATCTTCTGAGGGAAGATAAAATTAACTTTATTAATCAAAATTTCATGATCAGTTAATATGTAAATAAGTGAAGAATGGTATATATATGTTTATATACAAGAAATTATATATAAAAATTATATATAACAGGACTTAATGGAGTAGTTAAAGGGGTATGTAAATGCATACTTAAACCATGCTAGCATTTATCTCAAGAAAAATAACTGTCCACCAAAAAGAGATCAGTGAACTTGATAACTTACTTGCTGCAAATAAAACAAAAAATGTAGTCACGGTATTAGAAGAGCATTTTTTCTAACCCCTCAGATGACTGCAATCAGCAGGAGTAAGAAATAAGGTTCATTCTAGGACAATTTAAAATTGTGAGGTGAAACCAAAATGAATACAACAGGGTTGATTTTTGTTATGCTTCTATCCTATCACTTTCTGTCAATACATGAAACTTAAACCAGGAAAAGAATTGCATATTTTCGATCTTCTGGAACCATCTCATTATCTTTGCCAGCATGTACTTAATCTGAATTTATACTAATTCAATTAAAATTTTAGTAATGAAAGTATAATTCAGTTAGTAAAGATAATGCTTTCCATCTCATTGAAAAATTCTTTAGTTTTAAATTGATAGCATTACGCCCAGAGCACAACACAGTTTGGGACACATTTAAAGAGGTCAATATTTGCAAACCTTTTTACAATCTTCCCTGTAGTAGTAAAGAAAGACATGAAACTGCAATAATCGCCACCATTAATCAGATTTAAAGATGATGAACTATAAAGACACCCTTCTGGTGGAAAGATTAGCGACAATCATTTGAAGAATTTAGTAATGTTTGTTATTCAATGTGAATAAAACTAATAAGTCCATTCATCTTTCCCTTTCTATTTATTTACAATCTTTGTTTAGTCTAAGTATATATTGAGCACCTACTATGTGCCAGGTACTGTTCCAGGCATTTAAAATACAGGGGAGAAGAGAGAGGTAGATGGAGAAAAAGGGGTCAAATATGCGGTGACAGAAAGAAATCTAACTATGGGCGGTGAACACACAAAGCGATATATATATGCATTAATATTGATTTGTACACCTGAAACTTACTGGATTTAATTAACCAATGTCACCATAATAAAATAAAAATGTTAGAAAAATAAAAATAAAATAAAATACATTAGTAAACTAGACAGACAAAATCAAAGTTCGTGTGTAATGGAACTTACACATTATACTGGAGAAGATTGACAAAAAATATACATATAAAATAATTTCAGCTAGTGACAAACACTATAAGAGAAACTAATGTAGGATAAGAAGTTAGAGAATTAAAGGTTAGGGGATACAAATAAAAGAATTTGGGAAAATTTCAGACTTGAAAATCCCTATAACTGACCACTGTAACTGAAGAAAATGTCACTTATAGAAGAGGAACCCACATTTTGTCCTCGACATAATTCCCAAATGCTTAACCATCCCTGTTCTCTGAATTACCTATTACAGATCATATTTTTCTTTTTCTGCCTATTTTCCTCTAACATGTACAACCATCGTTTGGTATACTTTTTCATTAAGAATTAGAGTTTCTACGAGCATAATTCTAATGATATATGTAGAAAGTTTGAGACCTTTTGAATTCAGTACTTATGAAATAAAAATGTTTGATAGTTTGGCAATCTGAAACAATCAATGATATTTATTTATAGAAAATCTTCAAATGGAAAACAGCTCAGACAAATATCTAATGCTAAGTAATCAAGACAAAATTAATGTACATAGAAATTAGTCATTGACCTAGAGAAAGACTAGCAAATGACAAATATTGGTTTTGGAGTATGCATGTAAAGGTGAACCTGTGGGATGGTGAGAAAAACAGGGAGAGGGAAATATACTTCAAATTCAAGGAAAGATTTTAACTTAAATAGAGTCGGATTTCTATCGAGAATTGTAGATAGGGATATAATTATGTACTGCATATTTTCTAAAGTCCAGAACTTCAAAAGTCACAATATTGTGAGAAAGTAAGCAGTTATTTTTTGTTTTAATATATTAGCCTCTATATGGTAGTGACTTTTTAAAAAGAGTATTATGATAGAATAGTCTTACAAGAAAACCTTTCATAAAAATAGAAGTTTAGAAAAGTATAGACTATGAAGGCATAAAAAATTATATTAAATGTTTTTAAAGTATCAAACCTCAGTAACTTGAACATTAATTGATCAAGTAAGATATAGAAATATAAAAAAATATGTATGTTGACACAGCATACTGGTTAAAAGCAAAGTTTTGGATTCACACAGCTTAACCTCACATCCCAGCTCCATCATTCTCTACCTATATAATTCTGGGAAATTAATTTGGTGCCTCAGTTTCCTTATCTCTAAAATGAGGATGATAATAGTACCTACCTCTCAAGGTTGTTTTAGGATTGGATGAGTGTCTAGAAAAGTATCTGACATGAAGTACCTCATCAAAGTTAGCTATTAACTCATAATAATTTTCCCCAAAAGACACTTACTTTTAAGAAAACCTGCAGATCTTGAGTCTGAGTGTGCTGAAGAATATCTTGCTGTAGATGTTTGAATATAGCTATACAGATATACACTTGATAATCAGCACCAAGGAAAACACAAGTAGCAATATAGTGGCAGATTTCTAGCCAATCTAAATAATTCCAAAAACACTGGGTTATCCATTGAAGGCAAATCTAGAAAAAAAGAAGTCAGTTCATTAAAAAGCTTATAAGACCATATTTGACTTTCAAAAAGCAATGACCAATAACTCACACTAAACCAATGAAGAACTTAACATTTAATCAAAATAGAAAGACATTCTGTGTATACAAGCCTAACAAAGATGCTTCACCTATTTACTTAAAACTTTCATGGTCTTGGAACTCAGGACTTGGGAGATAACATGGTGTTCACACTGCTCAAATACCAATTGCTAACTGACTTCTTTATTCATATTGTCCTCCTCTTACTCATAATACCAGTCTGCTCTCTACAAATAACAAATGCTAAGAGACTATTTTAATTCAGAGATGGGAGTTTTTTCTATTCTACCTATAATCACAGATGTATAATTATGCAGATGACAGATTGCTGAATGTTACATTAATGCAAATGGACTCTTGCTGAATCAGAAAACACTTTAATCCAAACAGAATTATATAACATAAAAACTGAGAGCTAATGTGGAGAAAAATTAAAAAATGAGACTTTAAAAAAATCATTTATCTTACTCTTTGAATTACGCCTGTTCAGATTATAAAAGTAATATACGCTCATTGTGGAAAAAAACAGAAAAGTTTTAAGAAAAAGACAATGATGACTCAGAAATTAACACTGTTAACATTTTGGTACATTAATGTTATGGGTGGAATTATGTATCCCCACAAAAAGTATGTCAAAGTCCTAACCCCCAGTACCTGTGAATGTGACATTTGAAAACAGGGTACTTACAGAAGTAATCAAGTTAAAATGAGGTCATTAGAGTGGGCTTTATTCCAATATGACTGGTATTCAAATAAAAAGGGGAAAATTGGACATAGAGACAGGCACACACAGAGGGAAGATGTAGAAAAGTCACAGAGGGAGAATGTCACACATGAAGACAGATGACTGATGCACTTGTAAGCCAAGAAAGACCTAGGGCTACTAGAAGTTAGAAAAGAAACATCAAACAGTTTTTTCCCTAGTATGTTCACAGGGAATATAGCCTTGTCAACACTTTGATTTCAGATATCTGGCCTCCAAAATTGTGAGATAATAAATTTCTGCTTTTTTAAAGCAGCCCAATTCATAATGCTTTGATACTGCAGTCTTAGGACACTAAGACAATTACTTTCTAGTATTTTAATTTTCATTATGATTAACAATTTACCACTGAAGATTTCCTTTATTGATCCTCTCTTCCATAATTTTATGTTTTAGGGAGGTGGGGAGGAGGAAATAAGAACAGGTATGGCAGTTTATCTCAATTTGTCTTAAATATAAAAGATACAGAAAAACAAATTTTTCTTTTTTTGCTCTATCATTATGTCCTTTTAAAAATATATTCTTAAATAAAATTTCTAAAATTTGTTCTTATATCCCTGATTCAATTTTTTGGGGTGCTGATTCCACTTTTAACCACCTTTAACATGGTATATTAGTTTACTGGCTGACAGTAAACTAATGGTTTACATGGTTTATTAGTTTATATAAAGCACTAAAGAATAGGTGACAAACAACAGAAATTTATCTTCTCAGAATTATGGAGAAGTCCATATTCAAGGTGTTGGCAAGATTGGTTTATAGTGAGACTTTTCCTTGGCTTGTAGATGGCAGCCTTCTCTCATATTTTCACATAGTCTACCCTCTGTACATGTCTGTGTCCAAATTTCCTATTCTTATAAGGACATCAATCATACTGGATTAAGGCATACCCTAATAACCTCATTTTAACTTAATTACCACTTTTAAAGATCCTATCTCTAAATAATCACCTGCTGAGGTATTAGGGATTAGAAGTATAACATATGATTTTTGGGAGGATAAAAATTCAGCCCATTCCAGATGTTATTATTGAATTTTTGTTTTACATATTTATTACTTATGTAAACAATTAATTTTTAATTTTAGCCATATGGATAGATCTTTTCATCTTATCTTCTGGTCATATTTCCTATTTTGTTATTGATAATGCCAACTACATAAGACCAAATATTTTCTTTTGTTTTTTACTGTATTCTTTTCTCAAGTATAAGATTTGTCTTTACAAATATGTTACCTTCTGTACATTGTCTATTTATCTTCCATTAAATAGAGATAATACCTGTCTTTTCTACATATGGTAAATTTTGGGGAGGAAAATGAGAAATAACTAAAAACACTTTAAAAATATATAAAGTGCTATATATGTTATTCTGTAACAAAGGTACAGATATTTATCATTCATTTAACACATATTTAACAAGTACCTAATATACAACGAGATTGTAATTTTTAAGTGAACAGAATACATTTAGTCCCTGCTCTCACGAACTTTAAATTTGAAAAAGGTAGACATACACTTTTTAAAAATATGACCCTCTTCACTTGGAAGAAATTATTCTACTATTGTTATTCTATGGGCAAGATACTTTAGAATTGTTAAATTATAATAGAATTTTATAAAACTATTCCCCTGGAAAAGTGCTGAACTATGAGTCACAGATTTTAATCCTTGAGTAAATAATTTCTCTAACTTTATAAAAATGCAATGGTCTACAAATAGGCTGATAGTCTGGGGTTCCAACAGGACAAAGAAAGTAGTACGTGTCTAAATAAGCTTTGATAAACTTTTTCATTAACATTTTTATTGTGTAATTTGTCATATATACAACAAATTATGTCATACTGAGAGAGAGAGAGATAAGACAGACAGACAGAGACAGAGAGAGAAAATATCACATGAACCAGATCTATCATAACTTCAAAATTTTGATTGGTGGATATGTCTCAAGTCCATTTGCCTCCCCCCTCCTTAAGATTTTTAAGATAAAATACATAAGATGCTATAAATTATATCAGTGTTTATTATAAAATACATTTAAAATCTCAGTTACCGACAGCATCAACATAACTTTTCAACTTTTCATTACACTTATCAGACAAGAAAAAAAAATAATCTCAAAACGGTAATACGAACACTACCACAAGCAATATTACTTAAAACACACTATTTTTGCCATTCTCTTTGTCTTTAGATGACGTATCACTTGGTATGTACAGTTAAATTACAGTGTTTTAAAGTACTTCTCATGAGGTTATAACATGAAGTGGGTACAAGCTAATTTGATTCAGTTTGACTTTATATTCTTAGGGACAAAATGTATTTAGTTGGTTACTTATATGTATTTATATTATTATATAAAATATTGAAATGATTCCAAAGTAAAAATACAAAGCAAGGTATATTCCCTGGTTCCTCAGCTCATTTGTTCTCTATCCCTAAAAGCAATCATTTAAAAAAATATGGTACATTTTTTTTTTTAATTTTTAAAAATATTTTTTTAATTTTTAGGTGAGGCAACCTTGGTTGACCTCACAGATTACAAGGACCTTGTTAGCTTACAATCGCTTATTTTTTATTTTTTACACCTACAATATCTGGTCTTCCTAGATGGTCTCCCATCTAAGTACTAACCAGGCCCAACCCTGCTTAGCTTCCAAGATCATACAGGATTGGCCTTGTTCAGGGTGACATGGCCGTAGACTCTTTTATGTTTTTAATATAAGCACTTTTGTACTCATATTTGTATCCCCATCCTTTCTTAAACACTTTTTTTCTCCATCGTTTTATCACTTAACAAAAATATCCTGTATATCATACCACAGCAATATACAGAGATATTTCTAATTCTTTTTACAACTTCATAGTACTACAATATGGACAAACCATAATTTATTTACCTAAAACCCTATTCACAGACATCTGCATTGTTTCTAGTCTTTTAATACTATAAACAGTGTTGTAAGAACATATTTGTGTGTATGTATTTTCAAAATTTTGTCAGTGTATCTTGGTATAGATTTCTATAAATGGCATTGCTGAGTTAATGGGTAAATACACATGTGATTTTATTAGAAATTGCCAAATTCTCTTATAAGTTTCAAAAAAAAAAGTACTATATTTTAAAAACCAAGCAGTCAAGTCCTTATATTTATTGAAAAAATATTAAGTTTATGAAATGGTTTACAAAGTGAAATGAGCTAATTGTATTTGTTTTTATAGTAAAAACAACTATAGTAAAACAAAATCCAATGTTCCTTAGACATAATTACACTTTAAAACATTAAAATGGTTTTTTAGGTTAATAAGGAAGAAAAATCACTTGCACCAAATGTACCAAGCCTTCCTGGGAAATTTTGCTCTTCAACCATACTTAAGCTTATGCCAAAGGACATTAAGATGCAACATTGAGATAAATATAATTATTTTATCTGAGGTAAATTATTCTCACTTGTACACAGATTTAAAAAAAAAAATCAATCTTCAAAGAATTCCTTAAGAATTAAGTAAAAAAAGAAAAAAGTTTAGTTAGACCAATTACTTATGGATACTTGATAAGCCAAAGTAGGTATGATCCAAATGATCAAGTTTTATGATTCAAAAACACTATCTTTAACATTTATACTGGCCTTATTTTATTTGTTCTCAGCATAAAAAGATATTAGTAATGTAAGAAAGAAAATTTCAAAATGAAAAGATGTGGTTTTAAGCAAAGTCTTTGCTATTGGGATGACCTAAGTAAGTCAATTCACTTAACCGATACTGAATTTATCCGTCTGTTACATAAAGTTAAAATTTTAAATGAAATAAGGTCTAGAAACACACTTCTCATAGCACACAGGCTGTTATAAATAAAAGATAATATTTTTATTGCACTTCTGGGCAAGAAAATGTGTCACTCACTCAAAGGACCTGAAGATAAGTCAGGCACACATACCTTTAAGAAACTTCAACTAATAAGAGAGAGTTAAAGGATACAAAAAACTATTCCACAAAACAAGATACGCATTTCTTCTAGAAAAGAAGCATAGAAGCAGTATTCAAATTCAAAGCAATGCAGAATCATGTACTTGTAGGTGATCTAAAAAGTTTCTATTTGGACAGACATTCAAGGATAAGTACCTGACAAGTAAAGATGGGGCACAAGGAGGGAGAAGGCATCATTTCAAGTAGCAACTTGGGACATACACATCTATAAATATGACTCTGAATAAGGGGCAGTCCCAGTCTTTATATTCCATTTTGCATTTGTATAATTTTACGTTTTCAAAAAGAATTGTTGCAAAATATGAAATGACAAAATATTCTATAATTCTGCTTTCAAGGTAGTGGTAGTGTTGGCGACCAGCAAAAAAAGAAAAATGAGGGTTTTCTAAAGTATATTTTGAGGATTATCCATGTTAGCCCATTTGCTGACAAAAGTATATTATAATAATCAATGATATGTAGTATGCTGTCCTCAAGGAATTACAAGAGATAAATCATTAAAGATTCATGGTACTTCTTAAGCCAGGAAAGTTAATAAAATACAATAAGGAAAGTTTTTTTTTTTTCTTTTAAACAAAGGTAAAACTGGTCAAAAAGTTAATTAGAATATGTGATTTTTGTTCATTTAAAAAGAAGAAAATATATTTGAATTTCTATTTCCTTTCCAACCTCAGTTACTCTTCAAAGAAACTCTAATCAATAAATATATATATATATATATATATTTCTAACTACATTTAATCTTTTTATTCTAGTTGAATTTATTACTTTTACTCTAGAGAGCTATGTATTTTATTTAGCAGCCTATCCACAAATCCTTCATTAATCACCAGTACCAATCCCTTAGTGTCTATAAATTAACAGCTTCTTGTTAGGTTAAAATGAATAAGCTTTGAAATACAAAATTTGTATACAAATAATTACTTAACCACATATACCCATTTAGTTACTTAATATTAGTTTTCATATTTTATAATTAGCAGTAAAATGCAAAATAATAACAAAGCAATGATATATACTCAAAACAAAATGATTAGCTCACAAAGGGAGCCATTAAAAAGGCTTTTATACATTACATAATTTAAGAAACATAATAACATTACTGCTCGGAAATAATATAGTGGTTTTTATTAGGCAAATCTGCTTGCTACATGTAAGCAGTTTCAAATGGATAAAGATATATCAAATTGGATAAAGAGATGACAAAATGTTAGATAGCAAATTGATACAGTGGGGCCTGAGGTACTGTAGGTTTTACCAGTCTTTGGTAGTTCATTTGTAAATTAAAGGATATATGTTAAGAACTAGCAAATGATTGGAGGTATTAGACAATATATATTGTATTAATCAAGATTAGATGGGCAAAAAAGAACTCTCAGGAACCTATTGATCCCTGGCTTGAATATTTAGAAGAATTGAAAGAATGGACCGTTGAGTTTATAGTAAATATTTAAGTAATTACTTTCAACCAAAATTAAACATATTGCAAATCTAAATTCCCAGAAGTGTTTTAAGTACATAGTAAGAGTTAGAATTGGCTGGGGAAGAGTGTTCCTTTCTACTACATGCAATTCTTTGCTATATTTAGACTTATTAACTACAGGAAATGTAAAACTCAACAAGTGGAGTAACTTGATGCAAGTAAATGCAGTAAATGACATAAGGGCTCTTCAAAATAAGTACAAAAGCATATGTCATAATGTTAAAAACTATGTCTGATTAAGAGGGAAAGTGTTCCAGTAAGACGAATCCATGGGAATGAGGGAATGAGTTCACTATTAAGAAATCTATTAATATGTCATATAAACAAGTCAAATAAGTTCTAAGATCAAGATAGTCTTAACCATACAGGGACTTGACAAAATTCAAAATTTTCACTTGATTAAAAGGAAATAAAATTCAATACTTTACATAGAATAGAAAGATTCTTCCATAGCATGACATGGAATAACTGTCTCCAATGAATAGTTACTACTTAATGGTGAAATCTGAATGATTTCCAAATAATTAAGGTCTAAAACAAGTAAGTCATTATTATTTAGAATTATTCTGGAAAAAAATATATAATTTAGTGAAAAACTGAAGCAGAAAAGAAGTACATTAGCAAGTTGGAAGAAAAAAATTAATACAAATCTAGAAAAAAATGTATGACCTTATGAATATAAAAAATGACTGACTTCACTAATTAATAATCAAAGAGAAAAATTAAAAGAGAGCTCTCAAGCTACACTAATTAGAAATATCTGTAATGAGAAATGCACTACATATATATGAAAAAAAACTACTACAACTTTCGTAAAATATAATACAAAGAAAATAAGTGAAAAAATTTATTGTTCCTAGGAAGGTTGAGTGAACTGTGCAAAATTACTTTAAAGTATACATAAATAGAAATAGCTAACTTAACTTTTTTAGGGAGAGTTAGGAAATAAATGGTAGGCTTACTCTTATCCAATATTAAGACATCATATAAAGTTACAATACAGCAGCAAATAATACAATTTTAAATAAAATTACAAAAGTAAATAATAGTCCATTATGATAGTAAATAAGTAAAATATGTAACTCAGGAATTGATTTGAGTAGTGGGGGTTGCATTTAAAGAATATGTACATATTAATAAGAAGCACACTGAGACAGGTGAGCAATTAATAAAATTCAACTAGTTAAAATTATGGAATGCTAATCAACCTCACTAATGGTAAAAAAACAAAACAAAACAAAACACAAAATTTGAAAATGAGAAAGAATTTTCACTTATTAATTTAGTGATTAGTTTTGAAGTAGCCAAATATCCAGTTCTGAAGAATAGATACTTCATTTATGTTAGAAGAGTAAAATCAAAGTGATTTCACAATATGCAACAAGAGTATTAAAAGTATTCAAATCTTTTGATTAACTATTTCTAATTTCTGGGACTAAGACTTAAAGATTTAATTCTAAAAGCAGAAAAAAGTTTAAGCTCTAAAATATTTATTTTAGCCCAATTATACATCATGAGAAAACAATCCACACTTCTACTAACGAAGGACTGGCTATGCACAGGAAGGAGACATCTGCGGCCATTGCATGTGACCACATGCACAGTGCTAGGTCCTAGGAAAATCATTAAGCCTTCCCAGATCCCAACAGCAGAAACAGAATGCTACACTTTCCTTTTAGATAAGACATAGTATTTCACATACCAGATACTCAGTGTGGATAAGAATTCTTGCTCTCAATTACTTAATCCTTAAATTAGCCTATGAAGTAGATATTATTGCCACTAAAAAGCCTACATGTCAAGATTTTCAGAATGTCTATGTCTTTGAATAGCTGAACTTGAACTCAAATTCTATGATTGCCAAAGATCTACTATAAAGTAAACCTCTATATTATAATATACCTAAAGAGAAAAGGTCAGTTTAGGGATCTAAACACAAAGGTACAAATAGTTATGAAAATGATTTTATTTAAATGTATTTCCTATATATTTGATGAGAATGTAGTATTCTTTAAGGAGACTGAGATCTGGAAGTTTAAGAAATGCTACTCTGTAATGGATTACCTGTGACGGTGCAAAACCAGACATGTGGAAAGCTGAAAACACAAGTGGCACCTCTGCCTTCAGTAGCATTTCAATATAGTGAGTGCTGCAAAAATATATTGGATGGATGCCAGATTCTATAGTGTCGATAGGTAGGTACCTCTGCATAAAAGAAAGAAATTGAGAATTAGTAAATATGCAGCTAATTTAAAATACTCTGAATATATGTATAATAGTGGTACAAGAATTGTATATATATATGCAGTATCAATGTTGTATCAAAAATGACACATTTAGAGTGGTCTGCTAAGAAATGGTGGCAATAGATTAATTAATTAACAAGTCATTATTATGTAATAGACTCTTGAATATAAGGCAAGAGTTCTACTCTTATAGCTTATACTCTGCTGTAAGAAATTATGCCATATTTTGGTAACCAATACAAATTCCTACCACCAAGAAAATATGCTAATGATTGCTCTTAGTAACCACAGTAAATTCAGTTATAATAAAGTTTTATTAATTGGTCTATTAAGTCCCATTTCATGACCCTAATTCATAGTAAATGGTATTCATAAAGCTAGATCGATGACAGATCTGAGCCACATGAATAAAACAGAGCCTTCTAAATCATCAATTTATAAATTATGTTTGTTATACTTTGTGTTTTGATGCATTTTGCTTAGTCGCAACTGTCTAAAATAATGGTAACTCTTAAAAAAGATAACTTAATAAAGATAACTCTTAATAAAGATAACTCCAAATAAAATCCAGAATATTGGATTTAGCAGAACACAGGTAGAATAAGAGCATTTGCTATGTTACCTATACAACATATCAACTAATATATAAACTATGCTAAAATTGTGAAAAAAATCATCAGTAAAAACTTTTGGCTTGGGATATACTAGAAAGTGGCATAATATGAAACAAAGACTTCATAAAATAATGAACCCTCAGAATATTTTACTTCGATGATTAAAAATAAAAGCTATGTGCTTTAAAAAAAATGAAATGTAGTAAGCAGTTTTTTAGTTTTTCCTACTTTTTTAGGTAACTCTGATGAGTCATTTTATTCCTGACACTAAGAAAAATATAGTTCTATGTGGCTATAGAGATTAAACAGGAAGAGCCAATTAGAAAGACAATGCTCCAAACCAATCCGAACTGATCCAACCAGTCCCTTCCAGTCCAGTCCTACACTCTAGGGATCTGTGGGCTGAGGACGGGGCATCTTGAGCACTACAGTGAACCTGTGCCCTGTGCGGCATGTGCATCATGCAATAGGTGAACAAAAAACGTTGAAGACCTTCTTTTTAATTTGGTTCTGTAATTCTATAAAACATAAATCTTTTTCCTCTCAGGAAAAAAAAAATGAGAAAATGGCATGTTCAAATATAAATATTTAAAGCTACATATAAGAAAGGGTAGAGATTTTGACACTGCTTTTTCCTACAAGTGACTGGTCACGTGAGTTAGTACTGGTAATGCCCTGTGAGTAGGTTACAAGTGTGCCATGACATGCTGATGGTTGTAAAATTTAAATCTAACTGTACAGGTGACAAAAGCAATGCAACTTTGGAAACTGGAAAGCAGATGGATGACTCTGCAGGCCCCAAAAAGGTGAATCCGAAGCTAATAGTAGAGAAAACTAAAAACCAATCAAATTTACCCTGAAGAATACTCAAAAGCTTCAGGAATTGATGGCCAGAAATCTTTAGAAGTGGGAATAAAGAGAAAAGGGATAAAATAAGAAGGACTGGATGAACCTTTGGGCATCTGACCTCCCCTGGCACCTGGGCAAAAGTCTAAAATTTTATTTTCTGGAGAGGATGAAACAGGGCCCCTGGCTGTCTGGATGGAGGGGCACAAAAACATTGTTAAGGACAGTGCTACCATGTGGTACCAGACCAAAAGCGAGGATATTATACAAAAAAAAAAAGTTTTAAAAAAATCTAAATGTGTTATTTAAATTCTATTAGAATTTTTAACACTAACCTTTCTTTGTTGGGTAATTATTATTTTATGAGGAGTAAGAGAAAACTGTGTGCATGTGTATATATGTAAATATAAAAGAGATAAAATCATCCCATGACCTTCATGTTGAACTATACTAGTTAATTTAGCCTGATTTATCAATAGTTCTGTGTGTATATGAATAATTTTTTTCCTGATGACCAGAATTCAAACAATTCTTTAAATTACACATAATTAAAAAAAAAAAATCTTACAGATTTTTCTACTCTTCCATTTACAAATGTAATGTTTAAAATTCTTTTCATAGTGAGTATGGATTTTGAGTCTATTCATACATTTACATATCAAGTATTCTTAAATGAAAAAATAACTGAAATTCTTGTTTTCATTTCAATTTAATTTGTTCTCCTTTTTCATGTTTTTACTAACAGAGTAGGCATATATGATTGTTACATTATAATTGTTATTTGGGATTAGGTATTCCCACATAGAAATATATGATTTCTTGATGTATCTTTATTTTATGAATAGCTTTGATATTAACAATTAGCCAAACTCTGCTTATGATGAAATTCCATATAAGCTGATTTTTTTTTTTATCATTTAAAAAGTTTTTTTTTCTTAAAAACAAATAATGGAAAATAATTTAATTAAATCAGTACATTAAAAGGCTCTTCTGGTCTAAGTGGCTTCAAAGGATATATTTTTCAAATTATTTTTATCTCACATCAGTAGATAGTCATAGTTTATAAAATTTTGAGAACTTCAAATTAATATTTCATTATTTCCTATGCCAAGTTTTGTTGCAATTTGTTTACAACATTATTAAGAATGCAGAGGATCTAATATCTTTAAAATACATTTTCTAAAGTAACATAAGCCTAATAATATCCCTTACATATTTCTATTTAAACATTAATTCATACATTAAACACATATTAATTATTATAAGTCATAGTTTGAGACACATTAGTGAACAAACAGAAAATGCTGCCTTCATAGAGCTTACACTTAAATGCATTAATAACTAATACATAAATTAAGCAACATATTAGGAATTGATGTAGGTTATGGAACAAAAAGAAAAAAAAACAAGATAATGAGGTTGGGGAATATGGGATTGCAAGAATAGGTTGAAGCTTTTTTGAGATTGATTACAATAATGTGAGATGGAGCTACAGAAGGTGGACAAGTTTGTGCTATTAATAGCTAATATGTCTCACCACACTGCAGATATACTTTTTTTATCAACCTGCATAAAAACTGTCAATGCAATGTTTGAAATCAATGGATTGAACAAAATAGCAAATAGTCCAGCCACTTTTTAAAAGTATATTTAAAATTAAATGCACTAACAAGTCAAGTGGCATAGAAAAAAATAGCAATCCAAAAGATTATTAAATAAAAAAATTTATACTGTAGAGTGGTGACTATTACAGACATTACTAACTTCACTTGGCTAACAGTTCTAGATAGAATCCCTAAAGAGAAATCTTATTAGAATGTTACTTGTTTTATAAAGAAGCACCAAAACAAACTACAGGTAATAGAATATTCAACTTGGTATATGTGTACTTGAAAAGAAAAAAATGGTACTACAGAAGGCACTGCATTAGTCTTCACTGATGTTATAGCTGAACCAAGTGAAAAGTCTCAAGGCTTTATAACAAGAGTTCATTCTAAAATCCTAAGTTACGTGTTACTCCATTACATTTACAGATCTATATTCCATTTGAAATGATGCCAAAATGATGCCAAGTATAAAATTATGAAATTTCAATATTTAGTATATTCCTTGATGCTGTGCTTTTATTTTCCTTATTGCTAATATATACTGTAAAAACATATATTAAATGTCTTTGTTTGCTTTCATATAGATACTCTCCAGCTCCCTTAACTTATCCTTAGGTGCCATGTGATTGCATTGTCCATGTGTAACATGCCATGGAAAAGGTCTGGGAAGCATTAACTTAGCTTATATAGTAGACAATTACCCCAAATTGGAGATCTTAAATGGCAGTAGGTAGATAAGTAAAACAAAATACAGAAACGTTACTTGAGGGATGCATTTAGCTCTAAACCAAATTCTAAGACTTCATGGGACTAGTAAAATCTTCAAAAGTACACTATAATACTTTGATCAAAACTCATTTGGTTTCCAAAATATGTATAAAATATGTGGTTTTTTCTCTATAGGATATGGTTACAATTTTGACTTAATATTTTCTTATACTATAATTTAACCAAGAAATTCTTTCTAACAAAGCAAAAAAATATATTCATTCAAGTTCTTTTTACATATAGAATTTTATAATTTACTAAATGTCAAGTTTAAAATTTAATAATGTATCTATTGCCATTAATCTTTCATTCAGTTACCATTAGGTAAGACACCAAGTATTTGAGAAAATGTCAAATCTGTATCTTCAAAGAGAATCAGTCAAAAGCATCCAGGTAGAAAATGAATATAAATTAATACAGAGTCCTCTACGAATAAGATCCCAATGAATTTAAATAGAATTTGCTTTAAAATTTAAAACACTCTTTTAAAAACAGACTAAAGAGTCTTACAGAAATATGTAGTCTTGGCAACCAAAGGAAAGCAGAGGTCAGAAGCCTGGAGAACTGCTGAAGAAATCGAAATGTTTTCTCTTTGTTCCCCAACATTATCAAGAACAAAGAAGATACAAACCAGTCATGACCAGGATAATTCCCCTGCAGGCAGACTGAAAAGCACAGTTAAGGAACTTTTATAATATTTTATTTTATAAAATGAAATATAACAACTCCATAAATATTCATTTCCAAGATATCTGTGAGGAAAGATATATTAATGGTACTTAGTTCTCCTTTTGTTTATAACTGATTTATAAGCTATTGATGTATTTATTAATAACAAATTACCTGCATAGTAATTACTACTATGTACTGTGTGCTTAAATGTCTAGTGGAGGCCAATGGCACTAGCAAATGAGAAAAAAATTATCTGCTTTGTAGAAACACACTTGTTCAAGTCATTAACACAATAGTATCATCCTTGCTCTAGTTCAGGTTATCTGCTAAATTACTAGTATAATCAAGTATAAAAAAATGCATACATTTTTAGACTCAGAAATACAAATAGTCTGTGGAAATTTTTTCTTCGAGTCAAATCCTATTTCTAAAATATAACCAAATAAAATAACAAATATGGCTTTTTCTTATTCTAGATTTACTAAATCTAGAATATTCTTTTTCTAGGTTAACCAAACCTATTTTTAAAACTTTCTTATATATGTGTAAAAATATATTCTAATAACTTTAATTATTCAGTTTAAGATTCAAAGACTAAGACTGAATTTAATAATCACTTCTCAATTTAATAAAATGCATATAAACTACTTTAGACATATCATAACAAATAAATCATTAATATAGGTTAAACTATTATTTTATTATAAAAGTGTTAAGATATCTCCAAAGAATTATGAAAAAAATATAAAAAAAATTGAACTGCAAATCCATTTGAAAAGGATATGAAGAGAAGATTTTATAGGAGCTTGCTGCTGTTTCAGGAATCTCTCACAGTGCTTTAAAATCCAGGTAAGATCATTTTCTGCATCATCTTTTAACAGGTTGAGGAACTTGCCATATCTACATTAAAAACCCACAAAACATATAAAATAGAAAACATCAGGCCATGTATTACAAATTCATTTTTTTGAAATCCATCGAAGTGTAGTTCTTTTGAAATCCCAAGATTTTAAGTTTTTGAATTTCTACTTTTGGCATAACTATGCTATACAAAGCACTTAGGAAAGATTAACACTCAATATATATTCCTGATAATTACAATATATTTGGATTAGCAGTATTTATCTGGTAAATATTGGTAACTTTAAAGGAAAATAAATCAGTAATGAGAGAACAAAATGTAGATACCGTATATCTACGAGTAGAATATGAGCATTTTTTTTCCTGAACTTATTCTAAAACACAGAATATTGACAGGTTACACTGACAGAATCTAAAAGCAATTTTAGAGTTCAACTAGTCCCATGATTCTAAATGGGTTGGCACTTCCCCAGGTGCCACTTTGGAAATTTAAGGGGCTTTTTTTTTTTATTGTCACAGTGACTGGAGCACTACTGGTACTCAGTGCTTGAGGCCCAGCCGGTGAGACATGGGAAAGTCCTGCAAGATAACAACTTGCAAATGTCCCATCTGGTATATGTACGCATAGATGAAAAAGCAATTTATAATGACCTGAAACTAATTCTGTTTTATATAAAATCTTAAAATGTTTTTCCTATATTTTTTCATACATACTAAATGCAACTATGTGTAAATCAGAGAAAGATAGTACTTTGTTTGAAGCTTTACTAAAACTTGTTTATCATTTTGGAAAGTTACTTTGCCAGTGGCAACTCTCTTACAGTATTTGAAGCACCAAAATAAAATCAGTCTCTATTTGTAGCTGCCATAGTCACAATGTTTCTATATGAGTGCCAGCTATGTCTTACATTGTAGTTGCAGAAAAGCATTTCATTATAAATCACTTCCCATTTATTTCTTACCAATAAGACATTATATTGAATTAAAAAATATGTGACTAGCCCGTTTATATTATCTATGGATTCCACGCCAGAATAGAAATAGGGCATTTAAATAAAAAGCAGGTATAGGGTCACAAGACATAATCAGTGCATTATATTCCTATGAGATGAAGGTGAGCGAGCTAAAATTAGTACCAGTTTTCATTACAATGCTATGGATTTATTAAAACACTCAGTCTTTTTAACATATTTCACATGTATCTTTTTAAAACTAGATTTGATTCTGATCCTTCAGAATAGGACTATCAAGGTCTTTATTTAATAAGCAAGAATGCGGGGGGCGGGTGGGAATTAAGGACTCAGTCTTTAACTCGCAGTCTGTGTTTAGCTTTTCCAATTTTTTGAAAGTTATAATGTGAGTACTAAACATTCAAACAACTATAATTGTTTTATTCATTTTCTACAACTATCTTTAGGTACTTTTGTGCTATCACAACATCTTGATAATTTAATCATATTTTAGAAAATGGCATGATTGTGATACCAATGTGCTGATTTTTATGATGTTATTTTTGGAAAAAACCTGATAGTCGTAGAGGCTTAAATATACTGGAATTAAACTCTGAAATAAAAATGTACCACAACTGATTTACTTGCAGAGATAATTTAATCACGTGTCAATATCCTCAAAATAAAGCTAGTATTTTCTAAATGATAACTATGCATTTAAAATATACAAAATAGTGTGTTGTTAAACACTATTAAGCACATATCAGGTATACCTGACAGTCATTTTAATGCCAAGCTGCTGCACAGATGAAAGATTTTCATTCTTCACATTTGCATCAGTAGCTAAAAACAATAGAAAACTGGGTTATAAAAATGTATAAAAGTCTGCATAATAATCACATTTTAATTGAAAATTGATGAAAGCAATATTTTTACATTTTTAATGTGAATTTTGAGAACACTGATGAATTTGTTCTTTTAAGAGCTGTCAGTTATATTTTCAAAAGGGCTAACAGGAAACTCTACAGATAACTTTTCTTCTACAAAAAGTATTTAAAGGACTATTAAATACAAAATGACTAATCATAGTTTTAAAGTAATCTATTTTTACTTGGTTCTCAGAACACAAAAGCTGTTAACCCCCAAACAGTCTAGATTATTGCACTTTCATTAAGCATGTATATAAGATTTTGAATTACAAATATATATAAGTATGGCTGTTTACTTCTTAAGATTTAAACATGAGTGTCAAAAAGGAATAATTAGTACTCTACTTATAATGTACAAAAATTTATGAGAGTAAAGTGAATAAGTTTCTTCCTGCAGGTGGATTTTCTCTGTAAAGCAGGAATTGTGATCTGTGAAGTAGGAATTGTGACCATCTAATGAAAGTTGAGAAGGGGCTGTAAAGGTGCAGAAGACTACAGGAGAGGCTGAAAGTCTGCATTAGTCTTTGAGAAAAGCACATGACTAAGCTAACAATGAGCATTCAAAAACATCACTAGGTAGCACTAAAGGTCTAGTTGAAACTCTTAATATTAGGCTGAAGAAATGGTAGCGCGCGCACACACACACACACACACACACACACACACACACGCACGCACACACTAAAGGAATTTTCCAAAATCACATAGTTATCTAGTGGTAGAGAGGACCAAAAGCTAGGTTTTCTGAATCCCATATCACAAGTTTTCTTTCTCTCTCATTACACTCTAGTGCATCTGATACAATCAATATAATCTACTTAACTCATGGACTGATTCATTCCTTTTAATAAACCTTTCTGATAGTGTGGTGCACCATATACAAGCTATGGGGATAAAAGACAAATAATATATCATGTACGAAAAGAACTTTCCATGTAGTGTCAGAGATAAAATTTGTATACAGATAGCTCTGATGTTTTAATGTGCTAAGAAGAATAAAAATGGTACAGATAAAATGTTATGTGAATTCAGAAGAGGAATAGATTAGGAGGATGTGGCATTTAAACTGAACCTTAAAATATAGGTAGACTTGAGATCTGCAGAGATAGGAAAGAACAAATTAAACATCACTGTTATCAAACATCTACTCGTTGGACCAGCAATAATTCATCTTTTAGCACTTTTAGAGTTAAGGTAACCTACTTCTAGTTTGGCTAGGACTTTCATGGTTTTAGCACTAAAAGTCTCATGGTCCAGGAATCCCTCATGGGCCCAGACAAACCAGACTGGTTGGTCAGCTACCTAGAGTGGTAATTTTCTTAAAGTAAAAGAGAGAGGGGGCGGGGCAGGGGGGGCATAGAAGGAGGGAGGGTGAGCGACAGACAGACAGAAGTGTCAGTTAATTTCTTGATACAGTACTTTGGCATTTTAATTATTTAGATTTGATCTTAGCAATATTGTTACATTTGCCTATAATTACAGCAGTTAAGCTATACTGTATTTAACTTAGAATTCCAATTCCTTGCTATGTATAACTCTTACTGTGCTAACAGATGTACCTTCTATCCATAGAAGAGAAATATACCAATTCTGCACTTCTCCTAGCAACAGGTTAAGAAAGGAAGATAGCTCAATGTCTTCTCCAGATTTTTCAAAGTGGAGTGAAGACAGAATTCTCCCATCCCTCTATTAATCACGGGGCTATGAGGTACCCTAGGTCTTCAGTAAAGAGGAATAAATCCAACATACAAAAAGAGAGAGAGAGAGAGAGAGAGAGAGAGAGAGAGAGAGAGTAACTTGACGTATATATGGAGGAATTAAGTTATATTTTTAGTGATGTTTCCACCAGCTTTATGCCATTTATATGGGCAAATGATTCTACTTTATTTTCTGCTTAAACAGACAAACAAAAAAGTTGATTGAGGTTTCATGACTTGGTATCAAAAACATATATATTGCAAATTATCCTCACTCTCACAAAATAGTCAATTTTTAAAACTATTTATCATCATTCATACAATCACCATAATTTTAATTTCTTAGCTTTATCAATAGCATTTTTTTTCAGCTATAATTTAAATGCAGCTTTTGTCAATGTTCACTACAACACAATCAGGTTAAATTCACTTGGGGAGTAACCAGAAGTTCTTTTTGTTTCAATACCTGAGTCTGTTCCTGGTGATTCTATATTTTATGATTAATCGTATTTTAATTTCCCAAGTTTAAATAACATAAAACTTTAGTGCTATAGCATTGATGACATTGGCCAATTTCACAAAATTTAAATAGTTTCAATAAGATAAACATTCTGACTTTATATATTCCTATATTCCTATAGCCATGGTATAAACCTAAGTCCTATCAACTATCATAATGTGATATGAAGACAAGATCGATTTTTAGATAATACTTAGAATTCTAGTACACAGAAAATTGAATTAAGCATGAGAAATATCTACCTTCATTAATATATAGATCTGTGTGCTTGTAATAATACTAAGAGTGAGTGAATGAATGAGTAAATGAATGCATAAATGAACAAACATCTATTGTACAATAACAAAAGAAATTGTGCTTTACATATCAAACTAGAAGGTGGAGATAGAAACAGATATGGACTTAAAAATATTTTCTGTATATTTAAATCAAGTAACAAATGATGTAACTCTCTACTTCTGGAGTCATTATGAAAAGCATAACAAAATAAGTTGTTGAAAAAGTCAATCAACAATGATACTTGTAGCATCCTACTTAGCCTACTTATTAATAATGCCTAATTCAATCTCAGCATTAATATTAAATCAACTATGTAAAATAACTAATCATTTTAATTATAAATATAATAGTCTCAGAACAAAATGAGTTGAAAAAATTTACAATATTGACTGAAATCACTCACTCTGATAATGTATTCTGTTCTATTTTTGGTTTGCAAAGCTAGCACATAGAGCAGTGGTAGAAGAAATTAAATCTATTCTGCCCGGCTAACAATGTGGAAAAAAAGTAAGCTTTCAGAAAAGCAAAGAATTTCTCCACTGGAGAATAAATCCATATTTGCAGAAGCAGTTACTGCTTGGCTGTTTACTCTCCTGAAGTCCTGTTGCATCTGTTGTAATGTCAGAGAATTCTCAATCACTCAAAGAACTCAACCAATCAGTATACTTTCTCCTACCTTCTTCCTTCTTCAAAGTCAGTCTGCAGATTCTGTTGCTTCTTTATTAACATGTTTGTATCTATCCATCTTATTCAATTTTTAATGACACAGATTAAATTCCTTGAGACTAAGCTTCTGTAAAAGCCTCAGCTTTTAATTGGCATAGTCAGCATTATCGGGAAAAGCATTTCTCTTTCTATGTCTTTAATTATGCAATTACCCTTGCCTGCAAGCGTCTTCCTCTCTCCTATTTCTTTCATCTGTAATAGCCCAGGAGATACTAGCGCCATTCCTCCTGCTCCATTATCGCTTCCTCCTCTTAACTTCTCTTATGGCACTTGTCAACAATGATCTCTCTTTCCACTAAACGGCCTGTGGCACTCATGACAAAACTGCTCATTTGATGATAACCCAATTTAAATAGCATATTTAACATATTACTAACATATTACCTGAAACGAAGTAGCCAAGATGAAAAATCTTGGCTTTCCTTCATTTCTTCATTTTCTATCTTAATTTATGCAACAATTTACTTAATTCATCATCTTAGGTTTATATGCTATTCCCTCTTCTTGAAGAGAGGGTCATTCATATTAAATACTTACTTGCACTTATAGAGTATACTCACAAACATGCTCCATAAATGTAAGACAAAAAAGATTATATTTGCTGAATACTCAAAGAAAGTATAAAAGGTGTTTATATAAATTAAGTTTAAAAAATAGTTTAATAGTCAAAAAGAGAAACAATGCAATTTTTTTAATCTTTTTCCCCAATCTTTTGATTAACAATATAGAGAAAAGGGATAAAATTAAAATATTTACTACCTTGAAAGGACCACTTAATTTATCATTTCAAAGAAGCTACTGGAGTAGTAGAAAATCTCCAACTTGTTCTAGAGAATCGAGCCAACAAAATGTTAAAGTCCATTAAGATTTGGGAAGATACCTGTCTGGACTTAAAACCTGCAAATGTGTACAACTTTCTCTGTTCTTTCTTTTTTCTTCAAGGGGATAAATAGGCAAACTAATTTGATTTTTCCACATTTGCAAATTTTATAATGGATGGAAATCCTGAGGGAGCTAACAACAGATGGATGATTGTGTTATTCTAATTTCAGCTACCTTAGGGTTTAGCAAGCTGTCATTTTTAAAAAGACAATCAATTTCTCATTTCAAGATATATGAAAAAACATGGACTATCTATCCAGCACTTGCTTTGAAACATCTTTTATAACAAAACACGTTTTTTGCTTATTTAAATAAACCATTGTTTCATCAGCCAAAAAATAAATGATAAAGGATGAGGACATCTAGAGCCATGGGAAGAAAACAATACTATCAACAATCTTACTGTATCATAATAATAAAAATTAAACAATCAACAGGAAGCCACTTTGTCTTTGGCTGTACTCTAAAATTCCAAGGCATAGTGTTCAACTGGAGCCTTTAAATAATTTATATTCACATTTAGGGTTTATCTGCCTAGATACTACATTGAAAAAAGACAGCATGTGAGATCTTCCTCAGCACATTTAGAAGTGTAACAGAGGACAGAAAGTATGTGCACACTAAGCAATTAGGTTGTTGAGTATTTGATACAGCATAATGTTAATTTTAGATTATCTGCAGAAAATACAATCCAATAGAACAATGTACCAAGGAGAGTTGTAGAAACTGGAGATTATTATGCTGCAGATTGGAGAGATACCCATCATGACCATGCAAATCTCCATGATTACCACTTCTTACTGATTCTCTCTCTTATTCATAGACTTGATCACTAATCTCTGTATATTTTTCAGATACATTTTCAGGTTCATTCATAAAGTTATAATTTTCTTCACAAATGATTTTCTTCAAAATTATCTTCACAATTTCTGTTTTCTTTCCTCTTTACCTCACTTTCTTGATTTTAAGTGTAATGATATGCCTATTTCAGAGAGTAGTTACAGGGTTAAATGACATAATGTACATCAAGTATCTCAGTACACTTTTAACTCACAAGAAGTGCTCAACAGATGTCAATTCCTTTTGCCTGTCTTAATTTCTGTTTAACGCTGCCTTGTATTTCCCTCTCATTTCTTTGTTTTCGCTTTCTTATGTTCTCTTTTATCTTCAAATCTACATTAGATATTGTTTTGTGTAAATAATTAGGTATATGTTCATATATGTATATGTAAATATATTTAGAATTGTTATACATATATATTTGTGTAAATATAGATGCTAATATAACAGTATACATATTTAATTCAATAAAAAGATATCAAATGCTATATTAAAGATACAAAGGAGTTTGAGACTTAATGGAATAATTTAAACTAGTCATATACAATATAATGAATATCAAAATAGTAAAGCGAATGCATTAGGAGCACAGATGAGAGACTTCTGCTTAAGAGTAAGAGGGAAGGTGACATTCTAGCTGTTCTCAGTTGAGTTGGACATTATAACATGAGTGTCATGGGGGAGAGAAAAGTTTACCAAAAAGAACAGGAGTAGCAAAGGTTCAGTGACATGAATGCATGGAATGTGTCTGGGCAGTGGTGGGTTATAGGGCTAAAAAGACAGGCTGGGTTAGACAGGAAGTGTGTGTGTGTGTGTGTGTGTGTGTGTGTGTGTGTGTGTAAACTTTTATGGAAATATGACATATAGTGTCTAACTTGAATAAATAACACATACTTGAATGGTAGTTCCTTTAGCAGAGAACTCATGTCACCCTTATGAGGAAGAAATGCAATATTACTTGATGATCTATTATCATGAGTCTATGCTACCTCTGCTTTCTTCACCATCTCTTTGCTTACCAACCCCCAAGTACTGGATATTCACCTTTGGCAAATTTCAGTTCTGCACTTTACTTCATTTTTTACACAGTTACTAAAATAATCTCCCTAAAATACAGATTAATAAAGTAAAAGGTCTGCTCAAAAATCTTAAATGATTTACCCTATTGCCTATTTAAAATAAGATAAACTGACTGATACAGTACATAAAGCCTCCTTCCTTCATTCTTTTATCAATTGTTTCTTTTATTTGTCTGATATACAATGAAACTGTTATTCTAGGTGGAGAGGATACATATAATAAGTATTGGAGTTAATGTCACATAAAAATTAGGCATTAAGTCAGAACATGAGAAAGACATAAAGAGATGCAAATTGGCTTTATATATTAAGCTGATGATTTACTCCTTTGTATTTCCACCCCACACTTTTCCTCTAAATTCCAGATTCAAATATCCAGCATGTACAAAGCATGCTTAATTAAATGTGTAACAAGTATTTAAAACATAACATAAAAGCAAGCATCTAAAGCTCCTTTCTCAAACCTATTTCTCTCCCATTCTTCTCCACCTCAGTGGAGATAATTCCATCCTTCCAGTGGCTCAGATCAGTAACAGAGTCTACTTTGATTCAATCCTTTCTCTCACATCCATATTCAATCTGTTACCCAGTTCCATTGGCCCTGTCTTCAGCATATACTCAGAATCCAAAAACTTCTCAACATCTCCACTGACATCTTCATTAGAGCCATTACCATTTTTTATTTGGATCTTTTCAATAGCTTCCTCACTGGTCTCCCTGCTTTAGCTTTGTCCTCCTTCAGTCTTTTCTCAACACTGCAGCCATAGTAATCTTTTAAAAATGTAAATCAGAGAATTTTCAAGACTCTGCAATGACTTTCAAAATTCTTTCCTCTTTGATTTCCACACCAACAATTCTTCCTCTTTCTTTTTGGCTAAACTAGTCTCCATCTTTGCACTTGCTGAAATCCCACCCCCGCTCCGAAAATATCCATATATCTTGCTCTCACTTCTGCTGCTCTGACCACTATTGAATATTGCAATCCTCAGCCCCAACTGGCACTCTCTAGCTCCGCTGCTGTCTATGCATTTCTTATTTACCAACATACCATTTGAAATACTGAATCTTTTACTTGTTTATTGTCTGTCTTCCCACCACAAGTAAATTCTATGAAGACAAGATTTTTTTGTTTTTGTTTTTGTTCAGTGCTGTGTCTGAATGCTTAGAAAAGTTATATTACATAGTAGAGGACAATATCTATTTGATGAATAAATGAATGTCTCCACGATGGGGGAAGGGGGGAAGTTAGCAGTGCTGCTAATAGTTTAGTGTTCTTGAAAAAGAAATATGAGATATGGAGAAAAAGGAAAGATATTAGAGAAGAAGCAAGGGGAAAACTAATTTAAGGACTTCGGTAAGAAGCTTAGATATTATGCAGTGGTCAATCATGAGCTTTTAAGGGGTAGAGGAATGAGTAGGCCAGATTTGTTCTTCAAAGGTCACTCTGAAAGCAGCATAAAGCATACCTTTGAAAAGAAATCAGACTCTAATTAGAGACCCCAGGTGAAGAGGCTGTTGAAATACCCTTGGCAAGAAATAATGGTGGCCTGAACTAACATAAAGGAGAGTAGAAATCAATATAAATACATAAATTTGAGATATCTTTAGAACACAGAATTAACATGGTTTGGGAATTGGGAGGAAAATGTGGACTTATTGAGTGGATCGTTCTTTTGCTTCTGGCTTAGATGGACAGTAGATGATTGTACTACCAACCAAAATATATAAGGTAGTTAGGAGGATGGATATCAATAAGGTATGATGAGGTAAAGTCTCTGTTGGACATTTAGAGTTTGAGAGTTTCTGTAGCACATCAGGGTGATGTTTACTTTTTAAGCAGATGGAAATATGAAATTAAAACTTATAGATCTCTGAGTAGAAGATGTAAATTCAGAAGTCATCAATATATGGGGTACATAAAATAGTATAAGCAGATGAAGATCACGAGGGGATAGTGGATAAAATAGAAGTGTGGAAGACATTAGAAGATCTTAAGGATAAACAACTTTTAGTGAGTAGAGAGAAAAAAAAAGAACTCAAAAAAGAGAAAGTTACAAGAAAATCCAGACATTTGCATAGAAGATATTATATCTTGAATATATATGGTACCAAGTGAGAGATTTCTAAGGATAAGAAACTTTGTGCATATTTGTAATCTAATTACACACCTCAATAAAATATTATCTATTTGCACATTAAATTCTTTTCAAAATTCAAAATGTTTAAAATGTACCTGCATATTCCACTGAGGGGAAGTAGCATTCTGAAGGGCTTTCGGAGAGATGAAGCACAAATTTTTCAAGTAATTCTACTAAAGCTGTAATAAACATGAGAATAATTAGAATATTAAAGGTCAAGAATGATACGTGACAATGCATCTCTAAATCACAGACTAGTGGATTAAAGTCATCCAAACTTCTTGAGTTACACTCTTATTGAGGTCCAATTCAAAACACATACCATTTTAATATTCCTAACAATGTTTCTGATATAAATTAAATTTTAATAGCTTCACTAAGAACCTATGAATGTAAAACAGAATGGAAAAGAATCATCTGTTATCTTTAAATCCTCTAAGGATTACTTCGGAATTTGCCAAATGATTTTAATACAGAAAGAAAATTATCACTAATTAGACTATAATATCTTATAATAATTATTCACACATTTGGAAAAAATTATGTAAACTCCAAGACCAGGATCAATGCATAGCTCACGTGCCTTTCAAAACTAGTATACACTATGTGTTGTACATACTTTGCAATTGATGGTATCTGTTCAAAGCAACTGATCAAAAGTAAGTCAGAGGTTGAGAAGGATGGATGAATAAGTAGGCAGAGCACAGAATTTTTAGGGCACTAAAGCTCTTCAATTCACTGAAAATTCCATTATACATAATTCAAGGCAATTAATTCATGTCATGAAATACTTCTTAACTTTAAAAACAAATTAACTCCAGGATATTATTATCCAGAAAGTAAACTATAGAATATTATTTTTTCTTAAGTAGATATTAAATGGCAGACCATAAAGGATTTTAAATTATGAGCCTTTTCCTTTGGATTATATTTATTCCCTGGGGTGGGACTATGACATAGACTATAAAACCAAAATTAATAATATTTATGTACTAAAAAAGAGGACAAAAAACTAAAACTAAAGGCAGATTGTTCAGGGATACTTGGGTATTGATAATCCTTTCTCCCTTGGAACTGCCATCACCACAATAGCTGGTTCCTAAACTAGGACAGCTCAATGTTTGTAAACATGTAAAACTCTTGGATTCACCCTTATACACTGATGGTGGGAATGTAAATTGGTACAATCATTCTGGAAAATAGTATGGAGAGTCTTCAAAAAATTAAGAATAGAATTATCATATGACCTGGCAATCTCTCTTCTGGGTATCTATACCCAAAATTTGAAAATTTCCATAAAGATATATGTACTCCTATGTTCATAGCAGCATTATTCATAGTGACCAAGACATGGAAATAACCGGTGTCCTTCACTAGAAGATTGGATAAAGAAGATGTGGTACATATATACAATGGAATATTACTCAGCCATAAAAAAAGGATGAAATTCCGCCTTTTGCGACAACATGGATGGATCTTGAAATAATCATGCCAAGCGAAATAAGTCAGACAGAAAAAGCTGAGAACCATATGATTTCACTTATATGTGGGATATAAAACTGAAAGCAACAAACAAATATGACAAACAAACAGAGACTCATGGACACAGACAACAGTTTAGTGGTTACTAGAGGAAGGTAGAGAAAGGGAAGAAGTAGGTAAGGGTAAAGGTGATCAAGTATACGGTGACAGAAGGAAATTTAACTTTGGATAGTGGATATGCAATTGCAATATACATATGACATAGTATTAGACTGTACATTTGAAACCTATCTGATTTTATTATCTAATGCCACCCTAACAAATTTAATAAAAGTTTTTTTTAAATCTTTTATCACTGCTAGCCTATCATCAGATCACAAGAAAATTACATTAAGAATTAATTTTTTTCCCCCAAACAATTCATCCATCATGTAACCATTGGATGTCTGTTCCTTGAAAACTTGCTTATTCAATAACTTATCATGGTTTTCCCTTCTCTCTATCTCCATGAAGTTAGAACTCTACTAATGGGTTTTAAACACTTCACAATATTACAGCATCCAACCATACCTAATTTTCATATAAAATATTATAAGCACGGTTGATTTTTCTCCATGTTCTAAAGTAGTCTGTGGTCATTCTTTCTTCTGTACTTAAAAATATATATATATCATAAGATTATAGATTCACGGGAAGTTGCAAAGAATACAGAGGCAGACAAGTTCCTTTATCCCTTCCTTTTAGGGTAAATTTGCTGGTGAATAATCCTTCATCTGAGAATGTCTTGATTTTCTCACTACTCTTGAAGACTATTTTCAATACATACAAAATTCACTTTGCAGTTCTTTGCTTTTAGCACTTGAATAATATCATGCCACTTCCTCTGTGCTCTGTCTTTTCTGGTGAGAAGTCCTCTGTCATTTGAATTGAATATCCCTTGTAAGTAAGGTGTTGTTTCTCTTTCTCTCCTTTCAAGATTTTTTAGTTTGTCTTTAGTTCTCAGAAGTTTGATTATATTGTATCTTGGTGTGGATGTCTTTGGATTTATCCTCTTTGGATTATCGAATCCACAGTTTAGGTCTTTTGCCAAACTGAAACGTTTTCAACCATCATTTCTTCAAATTTGTTGTCCTGACCTCTGTCTAGGATGTCAATTACACAAATGTTGTATCTCTTGTTATGGTTCCATTGGTCTCTGGGGCTCTGTTAATTTTCAGTCTATTTCCTCTCTGCTGATATCTTTAAGTTCTCTGATTCTGCGCCGTCCCCTCCATTTTATTGTTGAACCCATACATTGAGCTTTTGATTTTTGTCATGGTATTTTTCAGTTTTAAAATTTCATATTGGGTTTTCTTTACTATTTCTTTGCTGACACTATTTTAAAATGTGTTTCATATGTGAGACAAATAAATACATGTATGGAGAGAAAGGAGAGATTATGGCCTTGTTACCAGTAGATGTTTGTGGAAGTTCTAACTCTCTACCTAGGTCTCCTCTGATACCATCTGAGAAGAAAAAAAAGTGCCTCATTACTGCCAGGTGAAGATGGATGTCCAGGGTGTACCCAAGGTCTTGCTGGCAGAATTTTCTGTGGTGTTTATCTGAATTAAAGGTGTCACCTTCTATAAGTTTTCTGTCTTGGTAGTCTAACCTTTTCGTGGTCTCTTGGCAGAGAGAGCAAGCTTTTATCTCCCCGCCCCACTATTTCTTCTTCATCTGTTGGCATTCTTAATCACTCGGTCTAGGCTATATGAGACAAAAAGAAAACCCAGTTGTTCCTTGGGTCCTAAGGTTCCTAGCCAATCTGCCCCTTCTTCTCTCCATCTTCCAGAGACATCCTATGTTTTTGTTTTAATATGTGATGTCCATATTAGCTTTGCATAGTAGGAGGGATAAGAGAAAGAACATCTATTCCATCTTTCAAGAGTAGAAATCACCATGTACTTTTTTCATGATAATTATTTAGGCTCGTTAAAAGCTGAACGTAAGTTTCATCACATAAAATAGACTGCCACTCACAAAATTCTCCTTTTTTTAATTCTTAACCTCTTTGAAACAATCTTATATTATTTACCATGTAACTGGTATTGAGTTTTGGAGAATTATCTGATTATGTCAAGTACATTTGCTTTATAGCCACAAATAGACAGAAGATGGGCCAATTTAGTGTCCATTGAAATGCAGCAACCGTAAGAGTATTATCTGGGTATACTGGAATTGCTGAAGCAAAGAAGAAGAATTTAGAAGGTGGCAGAATTATCAGGAATTGTGTTGAATTCCTTTTTCCCCTGGCTGCTATGCCAAGAAGAAGAGCTATGAAAAAAGTACTTTTAGTAACAGATTCACATGATGGGCAGGTGTCACTCGGAGAATGTTGCTGAGGATAGACCAATAATGGTATATGATAGCAATCACAAGAGTAAAGTGAATGGGAGAACAAAGGAATTTGCTTCTGCCTGTTTACCACCAGCCTCTAGGGATCCTTCTTTCAGAACTCAGGCTTTTGTTTTCATCATCATAGCCCCTCTTATATTTTCTTTCATGAGACTTAATGTCTTTGTGTGTGCTTATAACAAACAATCTACACTTTGGCTATATGACTCCTGTTTTTTAAGTGATTTATTAGCGCTTTGATATTATCAGATAATTTATATTACTAAAGGTTTTGGTTTCCTTACTATATATTTAATATGAAATGTGATTATCATCACTGGCTAGGGTTCCAGGGAGTCAATTGAGATAAGAGAAACATTATAAAGAATCGAATATACAGGATCAAATAAATAGACTTTAAAATTACATTGTAGAAGTACATTTATTGATGAGGAAAAATCTACACAATATTGCAGTGAGTGAAAAGATAAAAGAAAATAGTATAGTAGGTCTTAACTCTTTTGGGCTAAAAATAAAAACCGTGATAATTTCTAAAGGATAAAATTATACATTAATTTCAGTTTCTTCATTTTGCTTTACTTATAATTTCTGATTTTCCTAAAATGATCAAGTATTAGACAATAATAGTCCAGTCGCTGAGTAGTTAATACTTAAAGTAGTAGTGGAAGATATGGCTGAGAAAGAACAGATATAAGACATATTTAGGAATAATCTCTGTAAGCACGGGTAACCTGGAGGATGGGAATCAGAAGATAAAAGGGAGAAGTCAAAGAGAACTAAATTGTTCCTTTCAATGACTGGGTACATGCTAGTTATAGCAATAAGAAAAAGAGAATGCAAGAGGAAAACTATACCTTATTTGATATTCTCCATGGTATTTCACATTCAGATAAAATCTAAAATTTGGGAATAGCATTGAAATTTAAACAAATGGCAGGTCAAAAGAGAAAACTGGATTAAACACTCAGAGCAAAATAAAAGGAAACATAAATATAGCCAAAAGTAAATTAGAAATAACAAAATACACTTTTTTTTTAAGAGTGCTCTTGGTTCACGTCATCCTGTTGTCTTAATTCTAAGGAGCAACGTAATGTGCATTGTTAGAACTCAAATTTTTCCCCTAATAGTATTCTCCACTGAAAGAAACCAGAATCTCTTAGACTCTGTGTTTAAGAGCAAAATTAGTCTGGATAATTTCATTGTAATGACATTACAGGATTCTTTCACAGGTAAATATATATTTTTAAAAAGTTTAAAAGGTCATAGAGGCCAGCTTAAAGAAAAATACTCTTCTTAGGGTCCAAATTGTGATAATTTGAGTATCTGAAGGATATTATTACTCAAAATGTATTAAAGTTAAAAAGTATACCCTAGTTTCCAATATTGTCTATCAGACATGTACATGCTATCTGGTGACCAACTCAAATTATATGAATCCTACATCAGAATTCTGGTTATAAACTATATTATCAATATTAGTTAACAAAAATAGGAAGGGTATACTTAGAATATATTTTAAATTATACATTTATCAGGTCTCAAATAAAAGACTGAGAAATACTGGTTAGAAGACAAAGTAATAAATATAATGGTTTCTTTTTACAGAGAGATGAGTATAGAAAGACAGATATAAAAAAGTTAGGAAATATTAAACATGCAATTAATTATGGAATCTACTGTTTAGAATAGACAGACATCAAGAGCCCAGGTTAATAGATTCAGGAGAAACTAAAAGTCAGTCAGACCTACAGAGATCTTTCTGATAGCAGGGAAAAAACAAAAACAAAAACAAAAACGCAGAACTGTAGAACTATCTGCATTTTAATGAATTAAAAAAGGTAGCCCATGAACACATCTGAAATTCAGCCTAATGGAGTAGAGTGTCTATGTTCTCTCCCAGTGCTGAATGAAGTAAACACATGAAAATGAGAGAAATTAATTAGTGGTTCAGCAAACATGTCCTAGCTATTTCTATCTTAGAAAAAAGATCTGGGGTATGGTTTTGTTGAAGGGGAGACACATGCAGATCAAAATAAGGTCATAAGAAGAAAGAATTTGAACAATGTTCTATTAACTTGAGCCTGTGAGCTCTGGGTCATATAATCTATTGCTTCTCCCAGTGATTCATTACTAGATAGACATCAAGAGGTCAGGTTAGTAGATTCAAGAGAAACTAGAGGTCAATCAGAGTCTCGCTTAAAGAAAGACTCTTAGAGTCTTGCTTCCTCCAGGGACTCATTACAAGTGAGTACAGGAATATTATGTAATTGTACATCATGTTGTCTCACCTGTTCTTCTTATAAACCGAAAGCCTAGAAGAAAAATTCTGGAAATACTGGAAGCCCAAGTTTCAGAAAGCTGGAAATTTTTTCTGCTGGAAACTGCTTAGATGGCCTGGATTTAAATCATTTTGAGAATACTGATGGATAGTTATCTCCTCTTTATCATTAGCACAAAGGACGGCAGCTGCCCACAAGGGGAGCAAAATGAGTCAACAAGTAGGTTCCTTATAAGTTCTTATTAATTAAGTTTCCTTTTGTCTACCTCCTTTTGGATTCAGACTATATAATTTATAGAAACATTATAACTAATTCCTTCACTCATTATTATATGAAAACTATTAATGAATGTACATGGTGTTTACTATTCATTGCAAAGCCATATACAGAGATTTTAAGGAGAAACTGCAGAATAAGTGATGATAATTCAAAAATCTTAGGTTCTTGGTGGCTGTAGATTGCTTATACTTATAGCCTGAGTTGAACCACATTACAGAGCCATATTGTACATATGTATGTACATACACTAAATACATAAATAAGCATGCCTGCCTCACAAAAACACAACTTTGTTTAATATTTATGTATTGAGCTTACCCACAAAATTAGTTCACCTTAGTTTACAGACAGGAAATAAGTGTTATAAGATATGAGCGATATTAAAAATTTTATCATAATTTACATAAACCAGTACGTATAATGCTGTGTTTATTTAATAAATGTTACTTGCCTCTCATGAGTAAAACATTAGGCACTAAAGAGGAGGTGCAAAGAGGTAGTATAGCAAAGTAATACAGAGCATGAGTTTTGGTGTCGAGTTGACTGGGTTCATTTCTTGACTCGGCCCCTGTGAACTGGGCTAATTATCTAAAATGTCCAGGCCTTAGTTTCCTTATCCATAAAATATAGAAGAGCTTATAAAATTGCTGTAAGAGTAACACAGTTTGATGTAAGCAACTAGACCATGCTGGGCAGAGGTCTAGATCTAGGATGGAAAGTAGCTGGCAGTCTAACAGTGGATGCTGTACTAGGATAATGAATAACTGAGGTCAACATGTGTGGGAAGTACCCCAAAATTCCAAATGGAACACAGTTTTAATAGTAAAGTTCTACTTCTTTGTCCTGTTTTACAGTAACAGATAATTGTAGAACAGGTGATTATTTATTTATTTATTTTCTGTCTCATGGCTATCCCTGTTGAGAGGAAATTCAGAAACTACATATATACTTATTGTGTTTAAACTAAACATTCTACCAAACTGCTTCTTTCTCAACCTGTTCTATATCTTTTGGTATGTGCAAAATTCACTGACAGTCTATTTTAAATACTTTCTATTATGTAACCAATGATAAATATATATGCATGATAGATATTTCATAAATATTTTAGGGTAGAAGTTAACTGCTCATTTTACACTAAAATTTGAAAATAATGTTTGATTTCTTATCTATAGATATGTTATTCTCTAAAATATAACTACAACAACTTATAACATATAAATCTTATTATTTCCCACTTTTAATTACATAAATAATGATACAAGTAAGAAAACCAAAAAGCATGGCTGATAAAATAAGACGTTTACTGTCAAATTATAGCTTTCAAGAAATCTAGCTTATATTGACATTAGAACTTTTGTCTTAGACCTCCTGTACTCAAAATAATGTTAATTAAAAAGTGATGATCTTAGGAAATGAATGTACATTTAAATATCTGAATATAAAACAACTTGTTTCCTAATTTACAAAATACAGCCATTCCCTCAAAACAAAATATTCTTAGGAGTCACTAAATTTATTTGACTGGATATGACAGAATTTCAAGTTATCTGTCAATAAAAAAATCAATAAATTTTCCATAAATATAGCAGTATGGTATATTCAGATGAAAGGTGGCGAAACCAAGGCAAATTGTTACCTGGGAAAATCAGTGTTTCGGTTTTGCTTACCAAGACCTCTAAGTTATTAAAAAAAAAAAAAAAAAGGCTTGGTAGTTTCGCAGATTTTAATTTTTGTTCTCCAGAATCACAAATTTCTCAAGAGTCAATGGACTTCTGGAATTAGTATTATGTATTCTAGACATGCTGGTAGTAATCCTGAGGAAACAAAGCCTCTATTAATATAATTTTCATACAAAAAACCCACAAAAATTGAACAATGCACTCACCACCTCCACTGATTGTATCAGGCTTGGTCTTCATCATTTTGCAAAATTGTCTGCGGCAGTTTTCTATCCACTCGGTTTGTTTATCAGACATCTTGAAGTGTAATAAAAGTTTTTCAAGATCATCATCTAATAAAAATGATAGCATGTATTATCATAAGACATACTAGATACACTAAAAAATAAGTATTAATGTTAAGCATGTAAAGTTATAAATTCTGAAAAAAATACAGTACATGGCTTTCAAAGAAAAACAGACAGCTTTCTTCAATTACATATTATACCATTATTTGCTATTTATCACATTTATTAAAAGCTCTTAAAATGGATTGATTTACAACCATGATTCTTTACTATTATTTTTTTTATACACCATGACTCATTACTAAGTATTTAATTTTGTAAACAGCCTGGGCTTTAAGATTTTGCTAGACTATGTGAACATTTTACTTGTTCTTCATGTACATTCAGATATAATTTTATTAATTGTTTTAAAAGCAAAAAGAAAGCATATATGTAGAAAATCTCTAATCAATCATTTTTTTCCTTTTCTTAGAACATTATACTGAAAATAATGATTGGCGGTGAAAGAGTATGACTAACATAACTTTTCTTTCTAAGCAATTTCATGAATACATGGCAGCTATCATCTAATTTTATTTTTCCATTTTAATTTCAATTGTATTCCCATGAGACTTTTCAACCTTCCATTTTACTTTATTCCCATGAGATTTTGTATTAGGAAACATCTATAAATAATATATTAAATGAGGATTTGCATATCATTAAAAACAGATATACACGTATACATATAGACATACATATGTTATCTCATACATATGTAAAAATTCAAGAGTGAGAAAAGCAAAGATGTTCTCTTATTTTCTAGAAGAGAAGAGCATAGAGGGCATAGGTAGTAATATGAATTCACACTTCTATCACTTTCCTGGAAGGAGATTTTGGGAAGAAAAAGGGAAAAATCACCCTTTAAAAATATAGGGTCAAAGGCCTGATTGCTTCTGCCCAAAGATGTGGTTTGGGAACATTAATACTATAAAATACACCCACTTAAGCTATACTTTGGGCTAATGAATCTCACCAGAAAAATAGCAATTTTCAACTTGATACCATAAAGGGTTTCAACCAACTCTACTTTTTTCCTAAAATAATTATAATAAAGAAAACAAGTCCTTATTCTTACACATTTTAAAAATTAACCTTTCTACCATACAGAACTATTTTGATTTTAGTTTTCTATCCAATCCTTGTAAAATTACATTCAATAAGTAGGTATAAAGGTCCTCTTATTTGGCCACAGTAATCAAAACAGTGAAGGTCATTTGCCCATGAAACTTACATGCCATGAAGTATATAAAAAAAAAAGTGCGTGTATATATGTGTATATATGTGTATACATACATATATAGATTACAAAAGTGTCATCAAGATACACATACCTTTCCTATAATCTAAATTGGTTTTATTTAGCCCTAAAAAGCAGCTATGTATCCTCAAGGTTATAATATATAAAATTATATGATTAAATTATAAATCACAATTTATGTAATTATTTCCCTATATGACATTTAGGTCACCAAAAAAAGACTTCTCATATTAAAGCTCTTTTGCACAAACACATAAGTATACAAATAAATATACCAAACATATGCATACTCACACAAATATATACATAAACCAGAAAGAATTATTTCCTTGAAAGAATGTGTAAGAATGTGAAAGAATGCGGATATTTAGTACTAATGTTATATATTCTCTTTGCATATCAAAATCAGAATGATCTAACATTTCATAAATAGCTTCAATCAGAAGAAATAGCTATAGATAAACTAAGCTGATTAAATCAAAGGAAAAAATGATTCTTCTTGATAAAAACTCTCAAATCTATTCATCTAAACTCAAGAATATCAACGCTGAAAATTTTGTTGAAAATTATGAAAATTTTTAATAGCAAAGTTTTAATGTTGAATGTATCTTGATATGAATTAGGTAGAAGACTTAAAATGGAATTTGTGTAGTTTCCATTTAGAACATCTGCATTCCTTATTGCCCAGAACCAACTTTCTAGAGCCTAGTAAGAATCAACACTGGCACAAGATTGCAAAAACAAATGCGGTTGCTTATTTTTCACCTTTATTTCCTTCTTTATGTCATCTTTTCTACCCATGTGTAACTCTGTCTTTTATAACCACTACTACCTCCTTCAAACAGAGGATGTCCATATAGCTCTTCCATAAATTACCTATTTTAAAATTCTATGTTATCCCCTCTTCCTGGTCTACACTTTCGTCTTGTTCTCTTCTCTCCTTTCACATTTGCTATTCTGTTTTGTTTTTTCATCACCTCATTTTAAGGAAAAGAGCATGAGGCACTATGATTGTAAACACCAGTAATGCAGCAGGTGTGGTATACATCTGTATCTACCAATCGGTGGAAGGGCTGAAGGGCCCAGTTTAGATACCTGGAAACTGGATTTGAGGCAACAGAGAACTGTTGAGCAGGAGACCATGACTACAAGACTCCTAGAGAGACAACTTTGTTTTCTTTGTATATTTTTGGTTACAGTTTCCCTCAACCATGAGTGTGAGTATGAGCTTTTCACTTTGCATTCCTCACAGTTAAAAATATGTAGTAATTTGATGTAATGTTAATTAAAAAACATGTATATCTGCAATATCATTGTGTTTGAGGGGAACAAAAATTCCTTCATGTCCTCCTACAAATCTTGGGGTCAACTGAAAAGGAGACAGGAGTAGATAAATGGAGTTCAAAATATCAGTATGAGTACTGAAACTAAATCAGACACCGTTACTTGGATCTGCTGCCATATGGATTTATAAATGTTTCTCCTGATCTAAACAAACCTACTCAATTGCAGACAATGACCAACAACCTAAGGCCTTTCTTGACTTCTCATTATTAGAAAAAGTATGAATATGACCTAAAGATAGGCTAACTTGGAAGTACAGCCTACAAATAGGCTATTCCAAGATTTTCCATTTCTTCTCCCAAATTCACCTACCAAACATTATTCTTACCTAATTTTGTGTAGAATAAGTGTGAATGTCCAGAGAAGGGCCAATGGTGTTTCTTCAGCAAAGGCCCTTGTACATGGAAAATGGAATCATAGAAATGGCAGCATAGGAATATGATAACTTTAATGACTATGTGAGTAGAATATGAAGGATACATAGAATTTGATGTGTACCAAAATTTCTATGTTTATAATCACACAAAAAACAAAACAGAATATGTGCATGTATAAAATGATTCACTTCTATGAACTCTAATCTACATTATAATAAAGTGTTTTAAAGTATAAATTTTTCAGATCCTCATTAATAAGTCTTTGTATCAGATTCTGGATACTTTCTGGGTACAATCCAGTCTCCTGTAATAAAATGAATATTCACTTCTTAGGGACAAATAAACAATATATATATATTTCACCAGGAATAACCAAGATTGATAGTCTATATATTGACTGAATAATCCCTTTCTTAACTCACACTTTATTTTTTATAACCATTTTCACATACATTTAACCACAGAATATTATTTTTAGAGACAGTATAGTATAATCAATTAGGTTTCAGTATATCAATTATATATCTAGCTATGACGTCATCATGGAAAACTACAATTTTGTTTTCTCAAGAAAGGTTTGGTCAGTCTAGGGAGTAAGATTGAGAAGGGTATGCCCTTCCTCTCTGTTCCTTCATACCATTATGGTTTATAGGGAACTATGAAAAATTGGAAGATAAAATAAAAAATCTATTTTAAATTCATTTCCTTACTACCACTGAAAGAATTAAAAAAAAAATTAAAAAAGGAAACATCAACCTTTGTGTTTACAAAATTCACCAATCACAGCTGGGAATGTTTCATATCTAAACTCTGAAATACTTTGTTATGGTAAGCACTATAATCTTTTCATACTTGAGGATATTGTATAATTGGTTTCTCAAAAAGATTATTATATAAAAAAATTACATCAATTATAAGATTATTATAAATTGGGGGAGAGGAAATTTCAAAGGGAGGAAAAATGTAAGCTCAATATAAATTCAAAGAATATCTGCTATTTACACAGAAAACTTTCAGTACTTTCGTAGGATGTCAGTCAGTAATTGTCAAAGCCCACGTATAAAGAATATCAAAACAGATGCTGTAAAAGAAAATATATGGGAGATTTCATAAACTAACTAGTAGCAGATTCCAATAGAAGTGAAGCTTAGATAGTCACCCTTGTATTATCCAGAAGCTTATTTGTAGAATATTTGCTTTCCATTTGTGTTTCTGCTTATCTTCTTCTCTTCTCCCATATAAGTTAACATAGTCATTTCGGCTTACTCTTATTATAAAAAACGTTAGACTTTGGAGTGGTTGATATTCTATATATCCAAGAAACAATCGGAAAGATGCTTAAATTCATTATATTAGTTCTCTGTACCTCTCTAAATTTGGGACTATCTGCATTCTTACACATCTTTATTTTGTTTGAACTATGTGGTCTAAAAACATGAAATTATTTATTTTATATAGATCATTCCTCGTTTTGGAATTATGTTACTTTTACTTTTCTTTAATATGCAATAATTAAGCATTTAGCATAGTTCAAGAAATCAATGAAGAGTCTTCAAAAAATGAGGTTAGTTTTCCCTTAACACCTGCACCTAAACTAGCAGGTGATTCATTTCCCCTGATTGTCAGATATTTTTGTTTCAAATATCAAAGTAATAAGTACATGGAAATAAGAAGTTTTACTATTCAAAAGAAGATACTTATTTTGATTTTTAAACTAAGTATCTCGACAGCTGCAGCTCAAGATTTACTACATTGGAAAGAAACCATAATTTCATACTCTCAGCTTCCTCTGTTAATAGGACGATGTCAAATAAGTCATTTACTTTTACCTGCAGAAAATCAATCTTAATTCCAAGGTTAGGAATAATAAGGAAAGAAAAAAGAACGAGAAAATGTTCGACTCGATATAAAGGCCTAGAGAAGACTTGGATAAAAGGAAGAATTCATCACCAAACATATTTATAGACTAACTATATGTGTAACACATAATAGAACCAGCTTTTAAAATCAGAACAACAGCTATC